AGCTTTTCAGTTCTTCTGTATCATCACTCTTACATTGTCAAATGACATGAAAGAAGGGTGAGTTTTGTTACACAGTGGTGGGCCACAGTTTGGGATGCTGCATCTCATATATGAGTGCTTGGTTCAATCCGAGATGTACTGCAGCTTACCCAGCTTCCTGTTAACAAGTTTCCTGTGAGAAAGCAGATGGTAGTTCATGTACCTGACCCCTGCCATCCATGAGAGAGACTGGAATGGAGTTTGAAACTCATGGTTCCAGCTTGACCCAGCCCCGGTTGTTGTGAGCATTTGGGGAGTTACCCAGTAATGGAAGATTGCTCTGCCTTTCAAATGAGTAACATAAACATTAGTAGAAATAATGTCAAAGAAAATCTTCACTTCTGTCTTAAACAAGGTTTTTTGTGTACCTGTGAGAGAGACAGGATCTGGCAAGCCGGTCCTGAGCTCTTCTGCATGCCTGGCATATGTCATGAGACAGAAAGCAGTGGGACTATTTCCAGCAGTTCCACTTGTGATTCAGCTCCCTGCCAATGTGCCTGAAAAAGACAGCAGGGGATGCTCCAAGCGCTTGGGCTCCTGCACCCACACTGGAGACCCGAAAAAAGCGACTGGCTGCTGGCTTAGTCCTGGCCCAACCCCAGCCATTGTGGCCATTTGGGGAATGAACCAGCAGATAAAAGACATTTCTCTCTCACTCTCTTCTTCTCTGTAACTCTGTTTTTCAAATAAAATGATTTCTAAAAGATAGAAATGATAGCTGGAGTTTTGTGCGACTCACGTCATAGGAAATGGAAGGGACTCCAGCATCTCTAGGGGCCCTCAGGAAGTCTGCTCAGGGCAGCATGCAGGATCCCTTGACTGAATTCAATGGACTGGCCAAGGGACAAGTCTGGAGGCAAAACTGTCAAGTCAGTGTTGTGTGACAGAGTACCTGTGACTCAGCCAGTCATCCTTCTTGTTGTAATCTGGAATTATGTAACTCTACATGAGATGTTACGGAAGTTCGTCAGTTAAAATAATAACTTTTTCCCAGCTTTTCTTCCTTGCTGGGATATTTATATTTTAGCATGAAACTTTGAAAGTCAGTGGAAAAACCTATCAGCACCTCTGTCGGCAGCCTTCCTAGCTTGTCTGCCCAATATTTTCAGAGGGAGGAAGCAAGTAAATGAAGCCTTGCATCTGGAATGTCAATCTGGAAGGATTCTTCAATCACCACAGTCGCTCATTTCACAGATGGGAAACAGGCCTGAAAGAGCTACACACAGCCAAAGTTACACGGCACACTCAGACCCAGGTCTTGAACCCATGTCCTCAGCATGTCCCTTCAAGATAACTATTCTTTTTTTTTTTTAAGGATTTATGCATTTATTTATTTGAAACAGCAGAATGACAAAGAGGTAGGAGAGACATGGGGGAAGAGAGAGATCTTCATCTGCTATTTCACTTCCCAGTTGGTTGCTATGTTAGGACTGGCCCAAGATGAAGCCCAAAGCCCAGAACTCTATCCTTGTCTACCAGGTGGGTGACAGGGACCCAACTAGTTGGGCTGTCTAGGAGGGAGCCAGATCAGAATCTACAGCTGGGTCTTGAGCTGCACACTGATATAGTACACACGTATTGCATGGGGCAGCTTAACTCACTGTGCCACAATGCCAGCTCCTAAATATTCTTACAACACTGCCTATTTTTAAAAAATAGGTTATTGATATATAATTTGTATACCATTAAATTCACCCATATAAAGTATATAACTCAGTAGCTTTTAGTATATTCATAGAAACATAGATCCCAACTCATTTTATAATGTTCTCATTAGTTCCCAAAGGATATTCTGTACCTCTTAGCCTTCACCAGCTCTAGGCAACCTCAAATCTGCTTCCTGTATCTATAGATTTCTCTGTTCTGGATATTTCATATTTGGTGGAATCATACAAAGTGGAGTCTTTTGTGACTGGCTTCATTCACTTAACATAACCTCCCAAGGTCCATCCATGTTGTAGAGCCACCAGCATTTCATTCCTTTCTGTTGTCAAATAAGATTCTGTTACAGTAATATACTTTTCATTTAGCCTTCAACAGTTGGTAGACATTTGGGTTTTGTTTCACATACAAGTTTTTGCGTAGGTGTATGTTTTAATTTCTCTTGGGTGTATACATAGAAGTGGAATTTCTAGGTCCTGTGACAGCTTTGTATTGCAGTTTTGAGGAACTGTCAGGCTGTTGTCCAAAGCATCTCCCCATTTTATATTCTTACCAGTGGTGTACAGGGTGGTAGTTCCTCCACATCCTTGCCTGCACTTATTTCCTGCCTGAGTGCAGCCATCCCAGCGGCTATGAAGTGATATCCCAGTGTGGTTGTAACAGCTTTCTAAAAATCTTTGTGCCCAGAAACCTTCAGTGGTTAGTACCCATAGCATCCATGAGGTCTTGGCTCTTCTGCTGGGCACCCAGGTCCTTCTACAGCTGCTACTGTCTGCCCCTATGGATGCCCAGATAGCGAGCAGCCCCTCTCCTGATTGCTCTCCCTTACCCCCTCCCACCTTCCAGTAGTTTCACAAGACCAGAGAACTTTCTGGCTGCCTAGTTTTCCCAGAACTACATTTGGACTGTAAAGAACTCAGTTGGGTTGGGGCAGTGGGTGCTCAGAGCAAACCTGGAAAGGGAAGAGTAGCCTCTTTCAGGGCCGAGGCAAGGGAATACAGGGGTGGCAAAACATGCAGTGAAGGGTGCTAGGTTGGGGCCCAGCCCCTTCTGGAGTCTGTGTGGCCGATGATAAGAGCAGACAGCCCTGGCTGTGTACTCAGCAAGGTCAGGGCAGGGGACGGCACCCAGGTCCCAGTTCTAAAGGCAGGGTTTGTTTCCCTGCCCTGCTTGCATTGAGCCCCATCCAAAGCTTTGCTTGGGCTTTTTATCAGAACACAGCGTACTAACTTGTAACAGGGATGTCACCTTTCTCTTTATGTAAAATGATGTCTCTGCTGCATAGTCTTCTCCACGTTCTTATTTTGGGAATGCTGGGCTTCTGCAGAATTCCTTGCACTCACTGCTAGCATGCTTACTTCTCTGTTGAGCTCAGCCATTGCTGTGAAAGTTCTGTGCTCCAGTGCTGCTGGGACTTACGCAGGCATGTACACACACACGCGAATCCCTTTATAAGTAAACATGACTTAACTCAGTGGTTAAATGGTCTGTGTACACTTCCAGAATATTGTGGAAGCATCTTAGATACAGGCTGCTCTCATTATGTAGCTTGTCTCAGTGCGAGGCACACCCCCCTTAACTGCAGATGCAGACCTAAGTGGACTTCTCCTCTGGTGGCACCTAGTTCCTTTATCAAGGCAAGACATTCAGCTCAGAAATGGGCCGTTTCTGCTCAGGTCCCTCGCTTCTCTGGTCTTCAGCCCAAAGTCACCAACCAACCATCTGAACACCCGCAGAAAGACTAAGAGGCACCGACCTTTCCTATAGAGACCTCTGTCGATCGCAAGTCAGGTCTCTCGCAGCACTAGAAGTGACAGAATCGGAAGGCAAGTCGTCGTCTGAGAGCCCTGGTGTAAAATGAGAAAATCATTTTAATACTTTAAATGCTGATTGCTCAGCTGAGGAGAGAGTGTGGCTAGTGTGCTCCCGGGAGCCGGTTCCCCTGTGAAGTGACGTCATTGATTCCTTCGATTAGAATAATGGCAGCCAAGCGCACAACGCACTTGTGAGCCCTTACACTTCAGCCGTGAAGTGCCAACCCCAACAGAATTATGTGGAGTGGCATGCCAAGGATTTGTGCACATGCACTGGCTTCGTATGCTGCTTCTGAAGCAAACAGTAATGAAACTGACTGGGACAGAAGAGACCCCACCACAAGGGAAGCCATGGTACTGAAGGTGGCATTGCCATGCATTATCGTGACGCTAATCAAAGCATTCTCTCTTCTGTGTGTGGAGCTATCAGAGTCATTTTCTTAGCTGTGCAAAGCAATTTATCAGCCACCATTTCTGGAGCTGTTCAGGAAATTAGTGTGACTCACCATGGGACACAGTTTCTCGAGGAAACATGGCTGGGTGTTCAGTGCTCGCTTGACGGGGGGCGTGTTGTGATGTCAAGTGACTTGACAGCTCTGAGAACCCATGAGATGGTTATCAGATTGGCTTAAGAGAGAGCCCAAGATGTATAACCAGTGTATAACCAGTAAGTCATAGATAGATTTTTGAATAAGATTTGGGGGACTTGAGTGTTAAAGTATTTATTTTACCACAGAAATCTTGTGTACCATATGAAAATGTCTGCAAACACATGTGAGTGTATGCGCTGTGTGCCAGAGGAATCCTCAGAATGAAACAGTCACGTGCTTGTGTTTCATTCTTTGTGACACTGACAATGACATGGTGTCCTGGCTGACAGCGTCTGTCCGTTATGGCAGCCAAGCAAAGCCCCGGCTGCTGCTGCGGCTGTGCAGGCGACAGTCCGCAGGCTGGGCACAGGGATACGCACGTCAGTGCCATGCTCCCAGCCGGCCCCTGGGGACCTGCAGGATCTTCTTTCCTCACCCTTCAAAAACATGGCTCAGGCAGCGCAGACAACTGTCAAGGGTGAGGCTCATGTCATTGGCCAAAAATAAAAATTGTGCAGAGCTTCTCAGAATAAAACATACAAAATTGTTTGGTGTAATACAAGTTGAGCATTCCTAATCCAAAAGGCCAAAAATACCCCTAAATTCTTTAACCACTGAAGTGATCGCCATGAGTGGCAAGTTTCACACCATGAAACATTTTTCATGAACAGAATTACCCACAATACTACGCGAGATTGCCTTCAGGCTATGTGAATAAGGTGTATGTGAAATATAAATAAATTTTGCCTTTAGAGTTGGTTCCCATCCTCACAGTATCTCAAAAACAAAAACCAAGAATACAAAGTCCTCCCCTCACCAGTAGATGGCGCTGCAGTTGCACTGCTTCCAGGTGCCCCCTGGAGACTGACTTCTTGTGCTGTTGGTTCTTCACCAGGTCTGTGTGCCCTGTCCATCAACCATTCCAATTCTTACTTGGCTTATCCTGGGAGCCTGACCACGGGCGAGATTGTGCTTTATGATGGAAACTCTTTGGTAAGTTAACAGTGGTATCAACTGATAGGCCACATGCCCCAGCCTTGTGGTCAGTGGAAGGAAATAAGGAGGTCTAGCCACGGTGAACCAAGATGTGGAGGCAGAGGCTTAGGCAGCCCCTGCGGGAGTTGGCTGTAGAGGAGAAGGTAACGAGATTTGCCCTGGGGTTTGCTGGCACCAACAGTGGCGCCTGTGCAGCAGGGTGGAAAGCACCGAGCAGCTGTTTGTATCATGCTGTACAATGTCACAACCTGAGACAGTAAGCAGCTGTCTCACACTTCCTGCCTCTGGGCCTAGGTGTCACACCGCCCATAGAGCTGCTGTGTGATGGTCCCCTAAGAGGCACAAAGGGGGGCCAGGCTGGAACAGCGGGTGGAACCACCACCGTGATGCTGCATGCCCTACCAGGCTGCCACTTCCAGTCCCAGTCGCTCTGCTCTGATCCAGTGCACCACGTTAGCTCCCCATGTGGGAGACTTGGGTGAAGTTCCTGGCTCCTGGCTTCACCCTGACCCTGCCCTGGCATTTAAGGAGCAAAGCAGTGGTGTGGAAGCTATTTCCATCTCTGTTTCTCTTTATCACCCTCCCTGCCTCTGTTCTGCCTTTCAAGTAAATAGACCTGGTTTTTTCTTAAAGCACCCAGGGAGTGCCCATGACAGTGTCACCTTGCATCAGGCATGCAGTTGGGTGTGTCCCTTCCAAGACAAGGAAAAGGAATAGAAGTGGAGTGGCCCTTGAGCCTGAATCTCAGGGCACCAGCCAATGGTGTACAGCTTCTAAACAACAGGGCTGGTGTGGGAAGAAAAGGACAGACCTGTGAACGCGGGAGGATACTCATCTTCTCTGTTCCAGCAGCCACCTCCATTTTCTCCCCTTTCATCAACAGAAAGATGTCTGCACCATCGCCGCCCATGAGGGGATGCTGGCCGCCATCACCTTCAACTCCTCAGGCTCCAAACTTGCAAGTGCGTCAGAAAAAGTAAGTGTCCTCCTGGGGCTGCCTCCTTCTGGGGCTGCCTCCTCCTGGGGCTGCCCCTCCTAGACTCCTGGGAGTTCGGTGGGCAGCTGTGTGGTGTGCAGAGAGCTGACGGAGTGAGACTGTGACATCCAGCTGACTGTTCACAGTCCATCTCAGAGCGAGGACTTCCGGGCCTCACGTGGAGCATGTATGAACTCAGCAGACCAAAGGCCTATGTAAGACACAAGACACTTTGCATAACCCTGTGGTCTTACTGAGAAGTGTGAAGGTGCGTCATCTGACAGCAGGTGCTGCACTTCATAAATGTGACGTAGGCACAGCTAGAGATCGTCAGGGAAGATGACGATGTTGAATGTCAAATGCCATGAGAAGCAGGTGTATTTTGATGGGCAGAACTCCAGGATGCCAGGGCAGTCTGAGTCCATGTGTGCCTGTGCATACATGTGCATGGTATTGAGCCCAGGCAGTTGGGGGGCTTGGAGAAGAGGATCGGAGTGTTTGAAGCATGATCCAGCGTGGACATCTAGCCTGTTATCCCATACCAAGTATTTGGGATTGGTTTCTGACCATTTCCTGCTACGACAGGCCCTGGAAGGCAGTGGGGCTGGCTCAGGTGGCTGGGTCCCTGCACTCATGTGGGGGACCTGGGGTGAGGTCTCAGCTCCTGACTTGGCCTCCAGCATTGTTCCAGGCATTTGGGGGATTTGGGGGGCAAGAACCAGCAGACGGGAGCCCTCTGTGTCTCTCTGCCCCTCAAATAAGAATTTTTTAAAAATACATAAAGCATGTTCCAAGAATTGCATTTATGGCACACATACTTGAAAAAGTTTATAGACAAATGAATTTTAAAATTTGCTTTCTAAGGAGCAAAAAAAAAAAAAAATTGAAATCCATGAATTTTTCTTCATTTTTCACAAACTTTAAAGAACCTGCCTATAACTGAAAATGGCTCTATGTTGAGTGCCTTGTGTGTCTCCCTGAGACAGATGCTCCAAACCGGTAAAGCATGCTCCCCACAGAGGCACCCCGGGAACACCCCACGAGGCCCTATCACCTGCTCTCTCTTCCAGGGCACAGTCATCCGCGTGTTCTCGGTACCCGACGGGCAAAAGCTCTATGAGTTTCGGAGAGGAATGAAAAGGTCTGTGTCCGACGTCAAAACCTGTTTTTGAAGTCTCCACACAAGTCCACCCGAGGCCCCTGGGCGAGCATTCTGGGGAGGCCAGAGGCCTGCCCCTTCCCTAGAGGAGGCCGTCACTGCTTTCTCAGGTCCTTCTCAAGGCTCATTCAGGGCTTAGGAACAGCAAAAGCAGGGGTGCTGTTGTTATTCGGGTGTTCAGCCATGAGACTCCTTGTCTGATGTGTGCACGGGAGAGAATCAGGGATCCGCCATCTACAAGTAGCTTCTACCACCTTCCATGGAAATAAAGGGTAATGTTTGGGGCTGACCGGCTATAGGGTGTGCAGCTGGATGAATTCCGGGATGACCGGAAGGCACAGGTCTTCCCGCTCACGGGCTCAGAGGCAGAAGACCAGGACCCTGTGCACGCCGTGCTGACTTAGCACAGAGGTGAAGGGAGCTTAGAACACCCAAGCTCTCCAGGAGACGTGCAGCATTCTTAGAAAGCTCCCCTTGACCTTGATGGCAGTCAGCCATCCTTGTTCCTCTGGCTTACGGCGGCTGTGGGGCTGTGATTGCAGGTATGTGACCATCAGCTCCCTAGTGTTCAGCATGGACTCGCAGTTCCTCTGTGCCTCCAGCAACACCGAGACTGTACACATCTTCAAGCTGGAACACCTCAGCGACAGGCAAGTGCAATGCCGGGCACGAGTCCAACTAGGTGGCTCTGCAGCACCCAAGCTTGCTTTCTTCTCTGAACGCCCTGGAAGGCTTTAGCAAGCTGCCATCACCAAAGCTGTGCAGCACGTATTATAAAAGGCTGTTATGGGAGAACATGCAGACAGCAGGAGAGCAAGGACTGCGCTTCTGGCTCTGCCCTCAACGAGCTGTGAAACCCCAGGGAGAGGACAAGCATTCCTTCCATGGGCTTCTTGACTGAGGCATTGGGTGTAGAGTCTCAGGGCTCTGGTAGTGTTAAACAGTGCAGCTACCAACTCCGGTGACACGGTGACTGCTGTCGCCACCGGCATTTGGGATTTGGCCAACACTGAGCTCCAGCTCTGGTGAGGAAGACCAAGGGTCAGTTGCAGCCAGTGAAGATGAGTGGGTCTCCCAGAGCTGCTGAGCCAAACAGCCAAATGAAGTGGCTTTGGGCAGCACCCATTTGTTACCTCATGATGCTCCGAGTCCAAAGCCTCTAAGGGTATAGCTGGGTCCTCCAGCCTCGGTGAGATGGAGGGGCCACCTGGCTGTGTTGTCACTGCACACTTCCTCCCTAGGCTTCTCTCGATACATCTAGAAGGCTGCCAGAGTAGGAATTTAGTAGCTAAGCAAACTGAGGTTAGAGGATGTCAGTGTCTTCAGCATGGCCTCCATCTTCAAGTCCGGGGTCCACACGCAAACGCCACATCCACTCCTGACCAGAGCTGCTGCCCAGTGTGGTTTCTGGGCTGGGTTTCACAAAGATGCCAACAGAACTTCCTTGAGAAAAGCATCTTTTTCAAATGTCCAAGTAGCACAGGATTGTGCCTGGCCTCTCTCTTACATGGCTCAGTGTGTCCTGGCACTGGATGCCATGCCTCCACTGTTGATGTGGCTGGCAGCATGAGTGTCAGGCAGCACCAGGTCTCCCTGCCCCTCCCCCTTCTGAAACTCCAGCTTCGGGGACACCAGCAGGCAAGGCCAGACACTACAGATCCTGGGGCTTGCCTGCTCTATTCAGAAAACCTTGTCCCCTGCTTGGTGTCCGGAACATGGGGCTGTCTCTCCTCACTGCTCAGTCTTCCCAGCACACTTCTTGCCAGCTGCTGTCCCTGGGAGCTGTATTCTTACAGCTCATCATTTGTCCTGAATTTCTTTCTCCTCTGCACACTTTCCCCAGGAACATACTTTCTAGACTTTTCTCTCACCTCCAGACAGCTTCGACACAACATACACTCCCTGGTCCCTTGCAACAGCTGGCTTGCATGTTGGAGGGCAGCCTAGCTGTACCACCCCAAGCTGCTGCCTCGGCCCCATCCCTGCACTTGTCATCAGTGTTAAGCATGGGAAGCTGACCTCTCCTGGCCTTCTGTGGCAGCAGCTATAGAGCCTTGCAGTTATTCTGGACTCTCCCGAGTCCATCTGTGATCAGTTCACAGGTCCCAAGTGGCAGTAGCTGCCACCTTTCACCACAGCTGGGACAATTCTTATCCCTCCCCTTGGGCATGCCTACATTTATTTCACTCTTTCAGTAACTTTTCACCAACCCCATCTCTGTGCAGGGTTGGAAATGCTGCATTGTCCTTGGGAATGAATAAAGTCCCAACCCTTTCCCATGCTCCTGGCTGCATGGCCCAGCAACCACCACTCCAGCACTACCTCCACCCTGCCAACCCCAGGAAATCTACAGTACAGCGTTTGCCACGTGTCAGAGTGCTGAGACCTCAGTTCTCAGCAACCCCGGCAGGATTCTCCCCAGTTTCCAAATGAAGACACAGAGACTAAGAGGTTAAGAACCCACACCTGTCCCTTCCTTTCCTGGGATAGTTCCTTCCTGTACCAGTCACATGGCAGCGTTATCAAAAACTGGGTTATCTTTTCCTTCCCTCCCCTCTCTCCCTCCTCTGCTGTCTGAAATGCACACACTGTCACACACACACACACACACACACACACACACACACACACACACACACACACACACACACACACACACGAAAGAGAGAGAGAATCTCCTCTGTCAGTTCACTCCCCAGAGGCTCACAACAACCAGAGGAGCTGGGCAAGATTGAAGCCAGCAGCCCAGAACTCACCCTGGTCCCCCACATGGGCAGCAAGGACTCATATATTTGAATATCATCTGCCACCCACTAGGATGCTGGATCAGTAACAGGAGCTAGAATATGCACCAGGCACTTCCACATGGGTTGCAGCTGTCCCAGTGGTGTCTTAAGCACTGTGGCCAACACCCACCTGAATGGTTTTCTTTTCTGTAAGTCCCAACTCCAGCATAGAGCCACCAATGCATCAGTGTCAGTGTGGTGCACGATGTTTCAGACGGTAGACTCACAGGAGTACATCTACATGCTTTGGTAACTTTCATTGGAGAATATCAAGGGGCAGGGAGGTTTGTTTTGTCCCAAGCCCACTGAGCCAGTGGGATCAGGGTAAGCCACTGAGCTGCAGTGTTCAGTTCCCACCAGGCTCTGGTCCCATAGAGGAGTCTCACAGCAGATGCCCTGGGCATGCATGCGGCAGCCGTCCTGGACATGCCTCCCATGGGGAGAGGGCAAAGAAGGACCAGCATCCCTTGCTACAAGGCAGTCACCCCTTGCTTTATGGAGGCCTCAGATGAACTTTGATGTTTGCAGGAGCTTGCCAGGTGGCTATGAATAACCTTGGCCGTTATTAGCTCTAGGTCCCTGAGTGGCCCCAGGGCTGTCATCAGAAACTGCCCCAAATGTCTTGCTGGGGGTTTGCTTCCCACCCTGTCTGACTCAGAAGGCCTTCACCCAGGGAGCTGTCCGTTCTTGCGTGAGCCTGGCACAGGGTCCGGATATCGCCTCCATCTCACTCTCTACCCCAGCCCTCTTCTGGAAATCCAGAAATCAGACTAATCATCAGATACAAGCTTTTTAATGGCGAAAAGCGGTGGCATTGGGAACCTCTTAATGGCTTTGCAATGACTCTTGTAAAGGACAGACAGGCCCATGATGCTCTTTTGTTGTTGCCAGAACAATCTGTCTTGGAGGTCAGGACATTATGGGAAGGCACGGTTTCTCCCTGCTGTGGTTAGCACAGCTAATGAGATCTGGATGTGCAGGTCACTAAGCATATGCCAGCACTTGCAGTCTCATCCCATCCTCACCTCTGCCTTGCCCCCTAGCCGGCCAGAAGAGCCTTCCACCTGGAGCGGCTACATGGGGAAGATGTTCATGGCTGCCACCAACTACCTCCCCGCCCAGGTGTCAGACATGATGAACCAGGACAGAGCTTTTGCCACCGGTCGCTTGAACTTCTCTGGACAGAGGAACATCTGCACCCTCTCCACGTACGTACAGGGTCACCCACGTGCCATAAGCACATGTGCTTGTAACTGTATTTTCCCAAAGCATAAAATCTCCCAAACAGGTGAAAAGATGACAGGCAAGATGGCGTCAGAAAGGTGGGAAGAATTGCATAAGGATCCTGGTGGCCAGGATGCAGCTTGCTGCACACGAGGCCAACTCCAGCTCCTTGCTGGCACTGATTTCTTCATTGTTTCTGTCTGGTTTGAACATGGAGTCCTGTGTGGCAGCTGGAAGCTGCTATGAAAATTGTAACCTTCTGGTTATAATGACACCGACTTGAAAACAGCTCCTGTTTTATGTCCTTTTTATGTCATTATGACACGTCCTGCTGTCTAGGTTCAGACACCTGTGGTGTTTACAGATGTTTTATTAAAGAAGCTAGACATTTAAAAAAAAAAAAAGCCTTAAAACCCGCTAGGCAAGGACCATGAGCCACTTGTAGCTTTCTCCGCTTTCTGTCACTGCTAAGGCAGACACACCAGGAGGAAGTGAGCCTACTGGATGCAGACACCAGGAAGAAGTGAGCCTACTGGATGCAGTGGTGGCTCACGGAGTGATAGCATGTGCCCACACGGGGCTTTGTTCCAAGAAATGACCCAGAAAGAGGATCACAAAGGCAGAATGCCAGGGAGGAGCTGGGAGCCCTGGCCCCACCCACACCGGTGGCTAAGCTTCTGGTGACAGTGGCGTACCCGAGGCGCTGCCTGCGATCTGTCTGTCCTAACCACAGTTCCTATTTGACATGACTCGCAGGATCCAGAAACTACCCAGGCTGCTAGTGGCTTCCTCCGATGGACACCTTTACATCTACAACCTGGACCCTCAGGACGGAGGAGAATGCGTCCTAATCAAGACCCACAGGTGAAGCCCCGAGTGACTAGCGGAGGTGTCTCTGCCAAGGACAGAGACAAGCTCCCATACTCCGGCTTTTATTCCTGTGCTGCCATAACGTCAGTGGCAGACTCCCAGAGCGCACCTGCTTGACATGGCGCTCCGTGTCAGGGGCTCCCAGCCTGCTGCTCTCCCCTGGACAAGTGTTGCAATGAACAGTGTTCAAAGTCCCTCTCTCCTGTCCTCATGGAGTCCCAGCACACATGGGGCATTGAGCTGCCAGAGTGCTCTGGAGCCCTGGCCAAGGGCAGGAGCCCCTCGTCCCTGCTAACATTAGGGCACTGTGAGCTGCCCAGAGACCGCCACCCCCCGTTAGCAAGACTTAGTGCAGCAAGAGGAGCACAGGGCAGATCCTTGCTGCTTAGATCCGAGAGCTCAGGGTCAGTTTCAGGTTGCCTGACTGACTCCTGGTAAACTTAAGGCCACTTCAGTTCACACAGGTCCAAGGTCGTGTAAGTCTGTGATTTAAGCCCAGACAGCCAAGTACCAGGTTCCTCCTCCTTTCCTTTAGACATATTCTAGATGAGTGGTGATCTCTTCTTTCTATCCCTCTTCATTGCTGCACACAGCTTGCTGGGCTCAGGAACAGAAGAGAACAAAGAAAATGACCTCAGGCCCTCCTTACCTCAGTCTTATGCAGCCACAGTAGCCAGACCAAGCCCGTCCTCAGCCTCCACAGTGCCCGGTGAGTGGGTGGGGCCCCTTCCTGCCCCTGCCGCTGCCCAGGGTGGGAACACACTCCTGGAATCACCTCACAGCTGAGGCCTTGGCCATAGCCTCTAGTGGGCTCCTGCGTGGCAGGTGCAGTGCAGGATGGTCAGGCTAACCCTTCACCTCCTGGAGAAGTCCAGAGAGGTGGAAGGGCATGTGAGGCCAGTCGGCCTGTAGTGGGCATTTCACTGCCCCTCACACGGGCTCTCCGGGGGAAAGGATGGTGGAGCCCCCCTTTTGTTGAGGTCCTGCCCTCAAGGCCACATGTCAGAATTACCCACATGGCTTCTTTCATTTCTCACTGTCGTGTTTGCAGGTTACTCGGAGGATGGTGGTGCACTCCGGGGAGAGGTTATTCCAGAGCACGAGTTTGCGACGGGACCTGTGTGTCTGGAGGATGAAAATGAATTTCCCCCTGTGAGCATCAGGAGCCCTTAGCGCAGTGTGGGCTGGGTGCTTCCAGAAAGCTTCTGCTCGTTCAAGAGGCGAACCCTCTTTCCCTGTTTTCCAGACCCTAACAACTAACCCTCCTGTCTAGTGTGTGCATAGCCATAGGGAGGCCACTATGCTGTGGGCTTGGCACCCACACAGCAGCTTTTAGGGGTCATGCTAAGCCTTGGCAGCAGCAGAATAACCCAAAGCTAACCCAGGGTCTCGGCAGCCAACTACCTGCAGAGGCCCAGGGTCCTGACCTTTGCTCCCTTTGCCTCTGCTGCTCCTCCCATGAGAACTGACACTGCAGAAGGCCGAGTGTCAGGGGGCTCCTGTGCTGCTCGTGCAGAATGCTGCCTTTCTGTCGCTGGAGTGACGGTTTCACAGGGCTGGGCTGTGTGCTCCAGACCAGCTCCACCCACTCCTGCTCAGGCTGCTGCACGGGGCAGACCCACGACTCTGGGCTGCAGACATTCCATAAGCAACAGCCACGGGGAAGGAGAGCTGCGGCTTGCTCAGGCACCTTTCACTGTGCTCACCAGCATCCCAACCAGGAGAGCTCTAGAGCTGGCTGAGCTGGCATTGCCCCAGGACCTGCATCTAGAGAGAAGATGCCGTCTTAGGAGGCTGCTAGGACAGGATTCTTGGAGTTTCCGTGGAGCCCCCGTTAGGAGTCGCTGTTAGGAAATGTCCCAGGCAAGCCGAAATCCTTCAGAGATGAGAACAGGGTTTGTGCCAAGCCATGCCGAGTTCCGGGGCCAGTGCTCACTCGGCCTTGGCGCGAACTGTCCTCACGGGGCCACCTGAGCTTCCACGCGTGAAAGGAATGCGTGGGGGGAGTATGGCTTCCTCCTGCTTCAGGTCCACAGAACTCTGCACTGAGCACACGTGGGAGAAAAACTAAAGCTGTGGGGGCGCCTCTGGGGCGCCTCTGGGTGCCTGTGACCAACACAGATAGCCCAGGATGTTCAGTTCTGGCTTCTTCTCTAGCCAGGTTGCAGTGCACTGCCAACAAGCTGAGTTTATATTTTAGTGGCAGAGAGCAGTGGTTCTTAAAATTATTCATTATAATTTAAAAAAAAGTCTCTGGGCTTACTGCCCAAGTATAAACCAGTTATTTTGTCTCTGAGTTCTGCTGGCCCCAAGTAGCCATAAAGGGAACTGTTTGGTTCCCCAAAGGTTGGGAGACTGTTGACCTGAGGTAGCATCTGGGAGCTAAAGCTACATGGTACAGCCATGGGACATCTGTGTTTGTGCAGCCCCACCAAGGTTCAGCGTACCCGTTCAGCAGTGCTGGGAGAAAAGCTGGGTAGATGTACTCTTCTAATACTTACAGAATCACAGTAAACCTGGCAACCTCCTGTATTTACAGAATTCAGCTAGTTTGGGGATCTTGACAGGCCAGTAGTCCTTTGCCAAAGAAAGTCCCTATAGACGAATAGACGGCTGTGTAGGCCCACTTGCTTGGGATTAAAAAAAGTAGAGATGTTAAAGGGCTGATACACAAACTCATTACAAAGCCTAAACACTGCCAGGAAGTCGCCCAAGAAATGGCCAAGTGAGGAAACTCCTGCTTAACTGCAGCAGGAAACTTTCTAGAAAAGCAGTACCTCTAGCCAGCATCCAGCATGAGAGCGTGGTCGGTGAATAGGGTTCTCCGAGCACTGTGGCCAGCCTGCAGTGGATGTTGTGGCTGGAGAGCAGACAGGACTCCCACAGGGGCAGACTCAGCAGCAGGCAGGCTTTTCCATGTTGCCATCCAAGGACCAGAGGTGTGAGATGCTCTGGGCTGCTCTCAGTATGGCCCCTCTGGGTCCCAGCCACATGGGCAGAACTGCTCAGTAAAGGATGCTAGAAAAAAGCCTGTCTGTCTTTCCTGGATAGTCATGCTATCGCAATTCTGAGTCTGGGATTCACATCTCTCTTCACATTCCTTCAAATCATCTGGGATCTCAGCCTCAGCTTGGCTAACCTCACTTCTCCTACGGCCAAGAAGGTGGGCCTCCACCTTGAGAGCATGGCTCAGGAGCAGTGACGCCTCTAACTTGCTGACACTTGCCTGCACACCTTCCCTCTCCCTTCCTTGGGATTCACTCTGTTCCAGTAACAATGGAAAGAGAAATGATCACCTCTGGTACCCTCAAGAGAGGCTGCATTCAGTCAGGGGCCGGAAGCAGCCGCTTGCACAGGTCTGCTGCGCCTTGGGAACGAGGGGTAGACCAGCTTTTTCAGGTGATGCAGTAGTCAGTTTACAAGCACAAGGAGCCTCTTAAGAAACTCGCGTGGGTATCAATCCTCACAGCCTCTGGAAGTTGTCCCTGTCCCACAGACGGGAGGGGCCCTGGGCGGGTAGGTGAGGGTCCGTCCGTGCCAGGCAGATGGCTCCCCAGCGCCTAGCCTCTCCTGCTGATGCTGAGCCTGCACGGGCAGGCCCTGCCTGGACACAGCCAGCCCCTTCCGGGGAAGAGTAAGGCCCTTCTGTTTTGATTTTGGTAGATAATCTTGTGCCGTGGAAGTCAGAAGGGCAAATCGAAGCAGTCGTGAGGAGCACCCCGAGGAGGCAGGACACCCCCCTGTGAGGTGGAAGAATGGCGTGTGAGTGTGTGAGCACCCAGGGGGGCAGGATCCCAGGTGCTGTGCCCGGCAGCCACAGGAAGCGGCTGACCCCTCCCCGAGTTCCTGCCAGCCCCATGTGGGCAGGGTGACAGTGTATACCCGTGATGCTATTTAAAACTCTGTTCAAACCACAGTGTAAATGCTAACTAACCATATTGGTATATAACCTGCATTTTATATGAAAAAGGGTATCCTTTTTTAATATAAGTTGTGTAAAAAATGTACTTATAAGGAAAAAAAAATCACTTTAGATAGTATTTCTTGTATATTACATACATACATGTGGAGAGACTATTTTACCCAAAGTATTTTTGCAGTGACTGCAGTTGTTATTACCTTAGAGTTCCATTCAGGACACTAATAATAAAATCATAGCAATGCATTGCTGAGGCTTTTCGGGCTTGTTTCTTGGAGGTTTGGGGGCAGGCTGCAGAAAGAACTCCTGAAATCATTTAATCCCGCAGTCGGCAGGGGCAGGGCCATGGATTTTGCTATGGATGCTCCTGCCTCAAGACCTGGACACTGGTCTAAGCTTGTCTGGACCCGCATGGGAGGCTCACGGTGCACCTGGGAGCTTGTTGGAAACAGAGGGGTTGGGGCCCCATTCCAGGACCCGAGTCACAAGGCCAAGGGGATTTATGTCCGTATTTTCTTTAAAGGTGAGTTTATTTATTTGAAAGGCAGAGGTACCGAGAGACCAGAGCCTCCATCCGGGTCTCTTACAGGGCTATCAGGGGCCCTAGCACTTGGGCCATCTTTGGCCACTTTCCCAGGTGCATCAGTATGTGGCTGGACTGGAAATGAAGCAGCCAGGATTCAAATGGGTAGTCATTAGAGATGCAAGCATCGCATGGCAGCTCAACACTCTGCACCATAGTGCTGGCCCTGTATACATACTTTAGATGGAGAAGATTTGCTCCAGCAAACCTAAGGACGTAAGAACGAGACTGAACTGTGCCGAGTGTCTGCCTTGTGTGAGGTCACGTGCCAGGCTTCCTCACAGCCTCATTTGACCCTCAGCACCAACTGGCGAGTTAGGTTAAATCACTGCTCAAATGCAAACCCTGACCCTTGAACCTGTTTCCATCCTGCTTCACTCATGGTCCAGGAATGTACTCAGCTCAGCTGCTCTCTGGCTGGCAGAGAGGTAGCCTCAGAGCAGAATTCTGACATTTATTTTTTGAAGCATGTGTCTATAAAGGGGGTAAAATGCAGTTTGAAAGTGAACTTTGCCCATCTAATGTCCAAAGGTCTCCTCCTGCAGAAAGTTCTGCTCCTTGGCTTGGCAGCGGCAGGCAACTCGGGAAGGATTGCAGCAGGGGACCACTGAGGGATCGTGGGTGTAGTCCGCCTGGGAGACCTTGTCACCAGCAATGTCTCGGAGGATGTCGGCCAGAGCCCGTCTGACCTTGGGCAGCACGGCCTGATACTGGGCGCCACCGCTCGGCAGAGGCACACCCTCTGCCACATCATTGTCCAGGTTGAAAATAAGAGGAGGCTCATGATGCTGCTCAGGCCCAGTGTGTCCATCACAAGCTTGGGCTCCACCTGGAGAGACAAGGACCACGAGGATCGTCAAGGCCAGCTCCGCCCTGCGCCACGAGGAGGAGCACTAATCCGAACACCCCAACTCCCAATGGCCAAGTGACAGCTTTCCCTGCCCACAGGACTGCCTCAAGGATCTGAGTCTTCCCAGCGGTCAAGCTGCCATCCAAGATGTCCTACCAACATCTCCTTGTGGCCAGCAGAACATCTGATCAAACACCTGTCATCTCTGCCCTTGGAGAGAAAAATCTGAATTTTTTCACCAGTTGATTTTCTCCAGAACCCACGGGTGAATAAGATGGAAGGAATTTAAGACAAAGAGAGCCCTCAGAAATAGGGGAGTTCCTAAACACCTGCCTTTTCGAGCAGCCAGACACCAGCAGGATATAAGCTTACCAACCACCCAACAGACATGGAGCTTTGTGTAGTGCTGAGAGGCACGAGAAATGATTCCACTGCCCCTTCCTGTAAGATGCCCTGGATGATGGAATGCGCAAGGGTGATCTTTGGAACACTATAACTAAGTGGTCAGGAGGGTCCAGCTGGTGGCAACATATGGCATCCCTCACCGCAAGATGAGAACACAGCCAGCATGCAGTTCAGTGAGAGCAAGTCCATGGGACCAGAGCCATGCTGCCTGAGGATACAGCTTCTGGTCCAGTCAGGCTGGAAACAAAAACTGGCAAGAACGAGTGTCTCGTGGAGCCTTCTGGCAGCTTTCTTTTCCAGAAGGCTTCCCTCTCATGTCTGAGATTGAGGTGGTTCAGCAGAGGTCAGCAGGTACTGCCTGTGCCTGGAGGAGGGAGAGGGCTTGGATGTTCTTCACTACCAGTAAGGGGCAGTGAAGTGAGCTTGGACTATCAGTCAAGTGAAGGCAGAGGCTGCGCTCAGCTCTAGAAACTAAACAATTCCACCTAAGGAAGTAGCGGAGTGGCTTATATAACCTCCCACCCTGCAATTATAAACGCCAGGCAACATTCAAGGGAAACTGAAGATGCTAGAAAATAACCCAGACAGGTCCAACTGCCACACTAGCTTGGGTTAGAGTTAAATTTCCCCCCGGGAGACAATTCCCCAGTCTACAGCCAGAAATGCGCAAGAAGGCTGAGGTCCCTGTGGCTAGAGGTGACGGAGGATGGCGTTCAAGGCTCCCATAACAGATGCAAGCTGATGGGGGAGACACAGGGAAGGAGTGAGGTGGACAGGGAAAGCCTTAACACTGACCTCTCAGCTCCCTTCAAGTCCTGGCTGACCCCTGGACCCTGCATGCCCAGGAGAGAAGGTCTAGCGGCAGCCAGCAGATATTTCTCTGCTGCGGCCCTGGGAGAAGAGACCTCATGCTACAGCTAAAGACCAGGTACCAGGATTCGGAGGCTTACCCAAGAGGAAAGGGCAATATCTGCAAGACCACACCCAATAAAGCATGAAGCCTCTAGCAGGTCAAAGGAATCTACTACAAGTGTCTGTCTGAGAACAGAAACCAGAATCTCTACAAGGTACCATCCACCATGGCCAGTTTATCACTTTCAGAAAAACCACCCAATAGGAAACTGACAGTTCCAGGTCTAGCATGCAGGGGCGGGGGCTAGGAAGTCACTGCTTCCATCCCAACAGGGAATGAAAAGCAGAACAAACTAAAAATCAACAGCTCTCACTAGATCTGCCAAGGAAGTGAAGTTAAATGGGCAAACACCCCACCTGTCCCCAAACTGGAGCCACAGCCAGGCAAAGAGAATTACAATCACAGGAGCTGAAACTCCAAGGGTGGAATAGAAGCCTGAACCAAAATGGACAATTCAATGGAGTCCCCATGTACTCAAGTCCCAGAGATTAAAACCCCAGGGAACCCAGTCACTTAGAGTCCCCTTGCCACCACCACACTGAGTCTTGTCTCCAGACCCCAGCCCAGTTCTCACAGTAAAGACCAGACAAACAGCTTTCCAGGAGGTGGGGGAGGAAAGTAGCAATTTTTGAACACACCAGAACATTCCATTCCCAGTAAGACCCCCCCCATCAGGAGAAAAATTACTGTTTTGTTTTTTTTTCCCCACAGTCTTAACCAATGAAGGAGATCAAAAATAGCCAACTACAGCCTGCCCTGGCTATTTTTTTTTTCAAAAAAGATTTATTTATTATTGGAAAGACAAACGTACAAAGAGAAGGAGCTACAGAAAGATCCGTCTGCTGGTTCACTCCCCAACTGGCTGCAATCACTGGAGCTGAGCTGATCCAAAGCCAGGAGCCAATAGGAGCTTCCTCATGGTCTCCCACATGTGTGCAGGGTCCCAAGGCTTCTGGGCATCCTCTGCTGCTTTCACAGACCACATATGGGTGCCCATATGGGATCCAGGTGCATGCAAGGCAAGGGTTTAGCCACTGGGCCCTGCCCTGGCTATCCTGTCCCAGCTAAGATATTGGTATGAGACCAAGAAGCACTTTAGGGATTATAATCCCCAGGACACAGAGTCAAAGGACTATAGGACACATGCCCACCCCACTCCTTGCCACATGACAGAAGACCTATTTACCAAAATTACTTTTCCCTTGAGACATCGTGCCCAGATACCATGAAATTACAAGGCATATGAAAAGGCAGGAACCAGTTTCAAGAGACAGAGCAAGCATGAAAACCAGGCCCAGGTACAGAGGGGAGGAGGAAGTGGCAAACCACAATGACTAGAAGCCAGAGGACTCTCCTGGGACAGGCGGGCTGTAGGGAGGGTGCTGAAGCAAGGAGTCAGACACACCAAGAATCAGCACAGAAGTACCAGTAATGGCAACATCACAACACAAGTGCATGCAGTGAGCTCAGGAGTAGACTGGTCTGGGCTGAGGCTGGCAACCCAGAGCTTGAAAATATAGCAATAGAAACGTCAGAACCAGAAAGCAAACAGAACAAAGAATGAAACCAAAAACACACACTGGGAGATGCCACAAGAAGCAGGGTGGGAAGGCAATATCTCAAATTTGCGTGTCATTCTTGCACAGGGGCCATGCTAATCTTCTCTGTATCGTTCCAATTTTAGTATATGTGCTGCCGAAGCAAGCACAAGAAAGGAAATCTCTGGAACAGTAATGGCTTGGGGAGCCGGGGCTTGGCACAGTGCTTAAGATGCCCAGGAGTACCGAGGCTGGAGGGTTAGCTCCAACTCCTGACTCCAGCTTCTTGTAATCCAGTCTGTGAGAGGCAGCAGTGATGACTCAAGTGACTGGTTTCCTGACACTCATGTGGAAGACTCAAACTTAGTCCCCAGTCCCTGTCTTCAGCCTGGCCCAGCCCTGGCCATGGTGGGGATCTGGGAGTTGACCATCAGATGGGCGCTCACTGTTTTTGTCTCTGTGTGTCCACCTCTCAAATAAATCAATGCAAATTTAAAACATATAGTGGGCCCGGCCCGGTGGCCTAGTGGCTAAAGCCCTCACCTTGCACAAGCTGGGATCCCATTTGGGCAACAGTTCTAATCCTAGCTGTCCCACTTCCCATCCAGCTCCCTGCTCGTGGCCTGGGAAAGCAGGTGAGGACAGCCCAAAGCCTTGGGACCTGCACCCACGTGGGAAACCTAGAGTAAGTTCCTGGCTCCTGGCTTCAGATTGGTGTGTTGCAGTCACTTGGGGAATGAATCATCGGACGGAAGGTCTTTCTCTCTGTTTCTCCTCTATATATCTGCCTTTTCAATAAAAGTAAATAAATCTTTTTAAAAAAAGATTCTATGGCATGTTGAATACAAAATACCTACTTTATATTTACATAATATATATAAATATATATACATAAATATTTGCCACATACTAATAGTGAATGAATGGAGAATGATATATCACAATTACACCAATCAAATGAAGCAGAAAGTTAAAGAATAATAGAAATCAATTATCTTCTCTTAGACTGCAATGGAACTAAACTAAAAGGCAGTAACAGAATGCTGGGGAAAATCTCAAAATGCTTAAATAACACACTTCCAAGTAACAATGAATTAATAAATCTCAAGAGAAAATGGGATGTGGGGTAGGACCAGCCTGCTTGCTGCACATGCTGGCGGGCACAGGAACCATGGCTGGTGGTGGGCCTAGTGGGGTCATTGAGGGTCGCTCCAACGAGGCTGCAGTTCCTGCTGGGATAGATGAGGGCTGAGTGTGTGGTGGGCTGGGTTAGGCTGGGCTGCATCATCCATTGGTTTGCGTATGAGATGAGGTGGGGAACAGAACTGACCAGGTGACTGCAACCACCAGTGTGTGTGTAGGCTGACGTGGTGCTAGACTGAATCATACTCCACGCTGACTAGCACGCACAAGTCAGGCTGGGGTCACCTCTGGGGAGGTTTTTTGAGGACCTCCCCAAACTAGATCACTGGACTCAGAACTCCAACCATGGTGCAAAATCACAGGCCATGTGCTCTATGGGGTGAATGTGTGAGAACTGGGTCTCCATGGTTGTTGAAGCCAATATAGTGGATGGTATGAACCAGACGCTCCTGGGGGACATGACAACCAGTTCACTGAGGCCTGCAGAGGACATCTAGTACCATGGAGGGCAGAACAAATTGGACGGCTCTCCCTGACAAGTACCTGGGTAAACCAAGAGTCTAAGATGGACTATGTCAGCAAATGGACCCTGGAAAGACTGGAGGCACTGGAGGCAGTTGTCTTACCCACTTTTCCCCCATTCCTTGACCCTCTTCACCATAACTGGTGGTCCACATGGGCATGCACCCCTCTCAACTATGTAAACATCATCAAAAATAAACTCAACTTATAATTTGAAAAAAAAAAACAATAAGAGACTTCATATGCAAGTGTATGCATTTCTGAAAACCCACCAAGAAGCCCACCACAAATCTATGCCTTTTACTGGGTGTGAAGTTTGCCTTCACTCCTAAAAACAAAACAAAACCTTAAAAGCTAAAAACAATAAGGTGCCCTAATTCCATACCATACATCAAGACAAATGATCACCTTTTTTTTTTGGTTGCTTTATTTTGACAATCTTTACATAGCTGACTAGGGCACAAAGGATCAAGGGTTACAGGAAAGTGGGTAAGACTATTGTCTCCACATTATTGCTTTTTTTTTTTTTTTCTGTATCTGGGGTAAAGGGGGAGATAAAGGGAGAAGCCCCACCCAGCCTCCCACCCATCCCAGGTCCCCGATGAGATAATCATCTTTTAAGGTCACTACTAGCTCATGGCCACAAAATTATACCTTCATCACAGAAGACCACATCACTCATGAACTGAATGCAATAATCAACAGCCATTCCTCTGGCTCACCCCAAAACAGTTCTAGGTCATCAGGGTACAAATTTTAAGGGTTGAGGAGACAGGCAATAAGGAATCAGAACATCTGAGTGTTTTGCCCTATTCACTGACCTGATATGTTCAGAATTCAGTTCCTGCTGCCTCACCCCTGCCTTGTCCTGTCCAACCCCCACTGTCCTGGGAGCTGGTTAACTTCTCCTCCCTGGGGGATGAGGACTCCTGATTGGCTGCGATCACTTTAAGCATCGTGATTGCTTCATAGTAACAGTTACCAATTCCAACTCCCTGGTGCAGAGAGTTCTCTGGTAGGCTTATTACTTAGGAAGTGAACTCCCCCTTGAGGTGCCAAGCTTCGCAAATAATGTCACCAGTGGACTGGAATTGCAAACTTTCCTGCCTGAAACCGTGACAACCCCGAGGGCTTGTGTTTCCGGTTCTGCAGATGCAGAGCTTGCTGGAACATCCAGAGCGGAGAGCTCCAAACACGAATTTGGAGCCCGCAGTGTTCAGGATCACTGACTCGCACTCAGAGAAAAGGCATCTTGGGCTTTTATGACATTTTTCTTTGAGAAGCTCCAGGATTAAATAACCAAATTGGAATCTGCACTAAGTTCCAGAGCTTTGCTGCTTTGTCTTTTGCTTCTCGTGCATTAAAAAGAAGAACAGTGGCCGGCATACACAAATGCACATGGAGGGTATGGCAGTCCATTGGAGCCTGCAGAGGACATCTGGTACCATAACAAAAGAGGGAGGGCAGAACAAGTTGGTCAACTACCCCAGCCAAATATCTGGGTGCAAAATATCTGGCAGCAAAATAAAGGGGGAAAAAAAGAAAAGAAAATGTGGAAACAATGGCCTTACCCACATTCCCCTAACCCTTGACCCTTGCCACCTTAATTAACTACATAAACAGCACCAAAAATCATAGTAATGGGGGCGGAGTCCAGGTAAGTCTAAGCAGTGGCACAAGTACCTTACTCTCCCAGTCACATGACTGTTGCTGGGAGAACCCATGCCGGGCCAGGCTTCCTGCTGGGGATCCTAGCTCCCCATCCACCGCTGCTAGGCAGAAGGAGGGTCCTGGGCTTGTGGGCTCGGCCTGCTGTGAGCTCTGGGGTCTTGGGGGTATGGAATTACTGCCTAGGGACATCCACAGATAAAGCCACTGTATGTGTAGGTGAGGAATGAATCCTGAGGGACACCCAATGACAGGGCCACTGTACTTGCAGGTAAGCGAGGGGACTGAGACCTGGTGATTTGGAGGAGACCTGAAGATCTTTATGGGTCAGACTGATACACCAGCTCACATGGAAGTCCTGAATTGGGCTTGTTGGCATGGAACATGGCTGACCACCACATGCAAGCACACACGTAAAATATGGTTGGGGCCTGTCTGGCAGGGCTAGATCCTAGTACCTGATATTGAGGACTTCAGCCACTAGGCTGGGCCCCCAGTACCTGATACTGAGTGTTGGATCAGGAGATGGGTCACATTAGAGTGGGCCATGATACCACCCAGTACACAAGAGAACCAGGTCCGGTGTAGATTCTGTGGGGGGTATGTGGGTCTACCCCTGTGGAACTACAAGTCCCGCTGGTTAGCTTGAGAATTGGTATGGTGATGGGCTGAGTTAGACATGACCATGGAACTCACCAATGCTCACCAGCACTGGGGCTGGGAATAAGCAGAGCAGGTCCAGGCTGCAGCACCTGCATGTGCACCCTAAAACAGGGTGTGAGGCAGGCCAGGCCATACCAGCTCATACTAAGGCTGGGACAGATGGGGCGGGCCATGCCAAGTAAGGGCCAAGCACCCACTGGCATGCATTAGATCTGGGTTTGGGAGTAGCCCTAACAGGGGAACCTAGGAAACTCCCCTAATAGTCATAGCTCCTGCTGATGAGCATGTAGTCCAGGCTTGGGTGTTGGGCAGGCTGGGCAGGGTAGCTCCATCCGTCGGCAAGTGTGTGACAGACCAGGTTGGGCAGGGCTATAACGCCTGTTAATCTGTGTGTAAGCTGGATTGGGGATAAGCCAGGCTGGGTGGCATGTAGCTGTGGTACATGCATAAGCCAAAGGGCATGAGGGTTGATTGGGCTTTGCGGCAGCATCAACTAGCAGATGCCACACAGGGAGCAAGCTCTGTTGAGATAAACTGTAGTATCATCTGGAGAGTGCAAGATCCAGGAGTGGGAGTGAGCCCATCAGGGAAACAGTGAGCACCTCCTCTTGGGTTGCCACTTGAACTATAAGCATGAGAACCAGGACTGGGACAGGCATGGCTAGACAGAGAATGGCACCTGCCAGCACATGTGTGGGCTAGAAAGTGGAGCTGGTTGGGTTGAACTAGGCTTCAATGCCCATTGATACATATGAGAGCTGAATGGGATATGGGACAGACTGGACCAGTCTGCTGTACACACCGGCAAGCACGGAACCAGGGCAGGGGGTGGCCGGGGGGGGGGGGGCGTTATTGCGGATTACTCTGACTGGGCTACAACTCCCACTGGTTTGTGTGAGGGCAGAGTGTGCAGTGGGCAGGATCAGGCCGGACTGCAACACCCATTAGTTTGCATAGAAGACAGGGTTGGAGACAACTGACCCAGAAATTGCAACTAACAGTGTGCACAAAGGCCGATTTCAGCGAAGGACTGTGCCAGACCCTGTACTGGCAAGCACACACAAGAATGAAGTCTGGGATCACCTCAGATGAAGTTTCTTTAGGAATCCCTCCACTGAACTGCTGGACTCAGAACTACAACCATGGAGAAAATTGCAGGTTCTACGGTCTGACTGTGGAATGTACGTGTCAGAGCTGGGCCTCCTCAGTGGCTTAGGTGGAACAGTGGACAGCATATCCAGAAACACATGGAGGTTATGGCAGTACACTGGAGCCTGCAGAGGACACCTGGTACCACAACAGAGGACGGAGGACAGAACAAATCGATCAACTACCCCAGCCAAGAGTGGGCAGTGAATACCTGGGCAAACGGAATTTCTAAGGTGGACTATGTCGGCCAGTGGATTCTGGAGAGATTTCATCATGATTGGAGTGGAAGGATAAACAGCGATACAGAACTGCTGAACTATCAAAACCACTCGAGCAGGACCCCTGGCGCATGCCCCACATCGGGGACCCTGGGATGGTTGGGAGGCTGGTGTGGCTTCTCCCCTTATCTCTCCCCGCCCCCAGATACAGAAAACAAAGAAGAAAATGTGAAAACAGTGGTCTCAACTACTTTCCTGTGGCCCTTGACCCTTCATTCCCCAATCAACTATGTAAAAATTACCAAAAATAAAATTTATACAGTTAAAAAAAACAAAAGAATGAATTTCAGAAGTGAATTTATTCTTCCTCAAAAGATGGCTTGCAAATACGTACACAGGCCAAGTAAAAATGAAAAGTTCAGTGTTTTCCTCAGAATTAAAATAGGCACATTTATCAGTTCTTTCTGATTCAAAATATCCTTTAGGGAAAAAAATACAGAATCAAATTCCGTGTTTCAAGATCTTATATTTCAGTCCAGATGAAGCACCATTTTGCTTGTGCATATTTAGCTAAGAAGTATTTAGCTCAATTTTCAGGAAAATATTATCATGGAAAATCACTTATAATTTTATCAGTTTATATGTATTTTTAAGTCAATAGATACTTTCAATAAACTGAATTTCATGAGTAAAAACAAAAAGGGGGGGGGGTGGCTCCTACCAAGTGGAAGACAAGTGTACAAAGTGCTTTCTAACAACAAAGATGAAAGAATCCGGACAGGGAAGAGCAGGGGAGACGATATCCCACGTGCATCCGTGAGCGGCAGAGTGAGACGGTTATCCGGATTCTGCCTGGCCTTCCCGGCTGGGACTGCGAGAGGCAGCTCTCCGATCGGTGCGGCCTCTGCTTCAGGGCCTGACAACCTCCGAGGGACTTGTACACGAAGGCCAAGGAAGAGGGGACCTTGTTATCAGAGTGCTGAGGAAAGGGGAAAGGAGCCGGGAGCCCAGGGCTGAATTCATCTGGCAGCAGGAGGACTGGGTAAAGCATCCTGAGCCAGGGGACATTCCTCAGATACCCAGTGAGGACGGCCAGGGAGAGAAGCAAGAAACAGGGACACTCGAGACAGTCTACTCAATAGACCTCTATGGTCTGCCTGCAGCCATGGCCCCCTGTCCAAGCAACCTGCACTTGAAAACACCTCTGGGCTTCACTGTTTAATGTAACATGGGACATCACACCCTCCACGTGCAAGTGGCTGTGTAAACGTGTCTGATGAGCTCTTAGGCAACCAGTAAACAGATAAAACTGCTGATTCCAGACTTCTGCCAGGCCAGGGCTTTCGTTGGGGGGAGGGTGGACATGGCCAGAGATGCTGAGAGGTCCCTGAAGGGACACAGCCCAGAGCTACAAGTGAGTCCAGGGGTCCCCACACAGGCGTGCATGCAAGAAGCAGTCCTGGGCACCCCCACTTACCAGTGATGTAGAAGGCCTTGTACGGCCCCAGGCGGACAGTCTGCAGGGCTCCGTACTCCCCAGCTGCCCCACTGTTGGGGTGGAACAGCACCTGTGGAAGATGGCAGCACTTATTAATAACTTCCATCCACGTGAGCCAGGATCCGGAGGCCCTGTGAAATGCTTACTTGGCTAGTTCATTCATCAGTGTGGATCACAACTCCGCACCAGTGGGCGGGTGGTCAGAGTCCTAGGCCAGAACCCATTCTGTAACGGACAGGGTCCCACGCAAAATGAGACATGGGGATGCACCTTGCTGCCAAATTGAAAATCTCTAAAGAGGCGAGAAGACCTTGAAAACCCAAGTAAAGGCGCTCTGAAATGGGGTGGGAAGGGAGGAGGGAAGGGTGCTATGGTTACCCCTGTTCCGTGCATGCCTAACCTCCCACCCCAAGTGCGCGAGGGGGCCTGGGGACTTCCCTAGGAGTCTGCTGTGGGTGATCTGCACCCCCCACCCCCGCCCTGGGAAGCTCCTCAGCCCCCAGGCTGTTTCCCTCCCTCCCGAGCAAGCATGATGGTGTACTGAGGCATCCGTGACTTCCCCACGACAGGGCACGGTCCAGCCTGCAAACACAGACACCCACACCTATGAGTCAGATCCACCAAACCAAGCCTGAGGAAATCTTTCCTCACTGGGTCCCAGATCAAAGAATTATCCCCCGCCCCCAAAGAATGGAAACACCTCATTCAGGGCTCCCAAGGGAAGAATCTGGTAGAAAATCAAAGGGCAGTGTCCATGGTAGATTGGCGGCTTGGAGCTGGATGCCTGAGACTGCCCTGGTATGAATCATGACCGTATATATCGCTGGAAAGGCGCTTACGTGATTCAAAGTTTCCATGGGCCTTTTTAAAAAAAATATGAGAAACATCTGTTGGAGGAGCAATAAACAGCTGTGCCTCTTGCCACCCCTCCAACAGTTACACGGCTCTGGGAGGATGCCAGCCAGGGTGGGGTTGGCCCCGCACCTGCTGCTTCTGTGTACTGTGACAACCCCTGCCAAGTGCCCAGAGCGCGCGTGAGGCCAGCAGGCCCCTTCCAAACAGGAAAAGAGGTTGCAACTGAAAACCCTCACTTCTTCCATCCACGCAGAAAGCCAAGCTCCCACCGCAGCCGACTGTCTTGTTTCCTTCTTGAGACGGCAGGAAGTGGGAGACTTGGAAAAACTATTGTCAACTGATCTATGATGCACTCAGACATCCAGAAGCCCAGGGCCATCACTGATGTCATTTAGGTCTGCGGAACAGAAATGTCACAAGGTTTGGGGGGTGGGGGGAGAGCGGCGGCAGCGGGAGGGGGGTCACAGTGGGAGGGCTGCTGCGACATTACCAGGAGCAACGGCCAAAACCCAAGAGGAATTGTGGGATGCCTCGTTGTCAGAAACGCACAGATTGTTAAGAGCTCATCTGTGTGTGTGTGTGTGTGTTTTTTCTCCTCCGAGCAGAATGATCACAGCTTTTTCATTTCTACCCACAGGAGGCTGGCAGTTACACATGAATTGCAGTTGCAGCTGCAGATATTTGGTCCTCAAATACCTGGTCCAAACTTCAAACTTTGTCCTACAAACTTGTGCCTCCTTCATGCCTTGCCTTAGCTGGATGCCTGTGGGCTTCCTTTTGTTTTCTAAGCATGCCAGTGACCTGTTACATTAGGTCCTGAAGGCCAGGGCTTGCATAGCATCTCCAGACAGCGGGCTCCTTTCCCCAAACCCCACCAAGCCAGGGGGTGCAGAGCACAAGGTCTCCAAAAGGGGCCAGTGAGGCAGCCAGCCAACCCTGCGGCAGCCACGCCAATGAGATCTTTCACCACTAGGGGCCTCCCTAAGAGAAGTGATAGGCATGCTGGAGGCTGAACACCTGCCTGTTTTGTTGATGTGTGACTTCTGGGGCCAGGGCGGGAGAGGGCAGGGGGCTAAACATTTTGAGACCCACAGCAGCCCAACCACCCAGGCTAGGCACCAGCAGAGCTGTCGTTGGTTGACAGTCTTGGGACCTGATGACAGACACGACTTGCCCGGGGTGACTGCAACTTTCCATAAGGGGGTCAGGACCACACAGGGCTGGATCTGGTCAGGGCACCCTCCCTTTCTCAACGTGGATGTGGAGCAGAAGTGCAGGTGGAGCAGAAGCGAGACCGTGCAGCACGGGGTCGCCTGTGGGAATGCGACAGATGGGACGTCCTGAGACACAGATGAAACAGACGACAGCTGCGCGTGCAGCACGAACCCAGCAGTGCACTGCGCCTCTCAGCACAGAGCCTGCAGCAGGAGCTGGGGGCCCAGCGCCTGGGACTGCTTTCTAACTCTCAGCCACAGGGTTTGCAAGCCAGGCAAGAACCCAACGGCTGACAGGCATAAAGTCCTAAACCACACTGCACTGGGGATCCTTGCAAGCCCTGGTCACATCTGATCACGACCAGTTTGTATATTTAACAAAACAGCACACATACCATGTGTGTATGTGTTTGCTAACACGCGTCTACTTACATTCACACGCATAAATCACTCCAATCTTGGCCTACTGGTCTCCTCCACAGCTATTCCAATGCAACACAATCTAGTGTCTTAAATACTATTATTTTGCTTCAATTAGAGACAGCTGCTCAGAGACGGCCACCACCCCCTCCCCCCTAAACTCAGGGCCAGTAACTGCGTATGAGGACCTGCAGCTCCAGGGTCTTGCCTCCGACTCCTTGCTGAACTGCAGGAGCCTGGTATCCTGCTATGCCACATGTGGCCCTCAGGTGCCAGCTGCCTGCCCGGGTAGCCACCTTCAGCAGTTTCTCCTGCCGTTTTATTGTGGACCATGGCTTGTGCACGGGGAACAAGTCAAGCTCACACTCCACAGGGCCCTGCAGCCGCCTCCTCTACCTGCTACCGGGTGAGCCAACTTGTGCAGAGTCGCAAGCGCAGCTGAGAACGGAAGCTGGGGAAGTTCGCACGCACCAGCCCCGGCCACCATCCTCCCACCCTCACCCCGTCAGCAAGCCTGACCACGTCAAGAAGTTGCTTCCTGGCGACCCCCAGCATTTCTATTCGCAGCTGCGGTAGTAAACACCCCTCCCACCCCCGTGGGGGCGCCTCTCCTGACGTGGCGGATAACCTTCAGGGTCATGGCCCCCAGCGGCGGAAACCACCCTCTCGTCAGCTCCTTAGCTCGGCTGCTGCTCAGGAGCAGGGCCAGGTCTGGCAGGAGTGGAGTGCAGGGTGGGGTGTGTGGGAGTGGAGTGCTACTCTACAGGACCGGGAACTCCTCCCGGGAGAGGAACTACCTCCCAGGGGGCCTCTCTGGCTCACGCTGGCGTGAAAGGGCACGGAACCACCAATGGCCCTTAGAAGGCCGTGGGTGGCTAGCTGGCCCTGGGGGATGGGTCGCTCCAGTAACCACCGTTCAGAGTACAGCTGAGTCACTTCCAGGTGACCCTTAGAAAAGCCAAAAATAGGCCCTTTGAAGTACCCATCCCTGGCTGGCGGGCAGGGCCTCACAGAGGAGTCTGAAGTCTTCCCGGCCTCCTTCCCTTCCTCCCACGCCCTCTTCCTCTCGGTGAAGGGAAAACACGTGGAAATGACAGGGAACGGCCATTAGGTCTGTCATTTGCCAGCTGCTCCCAGAAACATGGGGAACAGTATGTGTGAAGCCCCGCTCCAGAGCCTGAGGATGCGAGAACAGGAGGAACCTGCCAGCTGCAGCATCCAACAAGTTAGTCATCCCCCACGCATCCATGCATCCACTTTGCATGGCCTGAGTACCAGCTGCGCGCAGGTGCCATGAGGTCCCGTGACAATTCAACGCTGAACTGGACAGTTGGAATTCTCGACTTCACGAAGCTGCCATGGTCACGGGGAAGGCCCACCACAGGCAAGTCACACACATTCGTCGGCTGTCCATGCAGCCAAAGCACACAGGGTGAAGAGAAAATGAAATGTACGCGGGGGGGCTCCAGCTTTAGAGGCACCCTGAGACACATTGCTAAATATGAAGCTGGACTGATGAGCTGGCTGGATGACGGGGCACAGGGTGGAAAGTGGGGTTCATCTCCAAGGATTCACCCCTCAGAGAGGCACGCAGTGGGTCGGAACTGACTACCCTGCATGCACGGTTCTGTTTGCATAAAGCCAGCCAGTCTCTGAATGACAAGCACAGATGTGGGCTCGTATTTCTTGCACTTACCCTGTGTCCGATCTGGGAGCGGCCAAAGATCACGTCGGAGACATCCAGGCCATCCAAGTGCCGGCCCGGAGGCAGGCTGGCCCCGGACAGGGCCACCACGGTGGGGAAAATGTCCAGCATGCTGCAGAAAGGACCAGCAGTCAGCCTTGCACTTGGACTCATCCCAGCCCAAGCACCCACAGCCTCCCGCCCTCTCCATGCCTGTCTTCCCTTCAGGTTCTGATTTCATGCCCGAGTTTCCAAGGGGCGCAGTGGGGCACTGGCTCAACAGCCAAGCTGTTTAAATCCCAATGCTTCTGTTTCATGTTCTCTGCAGCGGGCCCAACTCAGGGCTGGGCGAGTGGATGCAAAGAGAAGGAATGTGTTTGGTGAATGGTTATGTTGCCATGATTCACAGGGGGCACCCGCTATGAACCTGTCTGGGAGCTAAGAGATTCTACATGTCACCAACTAGCTCACAGCCACTTGTTTCGAGAGGATATGGTGTGAGAGACAAGATTCAGTTCATTTTTCATTGCCTGGATCTCTGCAGCATACATATTTTACCTTCGTTTAGGATGTCTTGAGATATGAAAAAAATTCCCACCTCTATTGTTTTAGCTAGTTTTGTCCACTATAGAAAAATGAATGTTGGGTCCGGTGAGATGGCCTCGTTGCTAAAGTCCTTGCCTTGAACCCGCCGGGATCCCATATGAGCACCAGTTCTAACCCCAGCAGCTCCACTTCCCATCCCGCTCCCTGCTTGTGGCCTGGGAGAGCAGTCGAGGATGGCCCAAAGCCTTGGGACCCTGCACCCGTGTGGGAGACCTGGAGCAAGTTCCTGGCTCCTGGCTTCAGATCGGCGCAGCACCAGCTGTTGCCGTCTCTTGGGGAGTGAATCATCAGACAGAAGATCTTCTTCTCTGTCTCTTCTCCTCTCTGCATATCTGACTTTGCAACAAAAATAAATAAATCTTTAAAAAAAAAAGAATGTTGGAAAAGGCATATATTCGGTCTGGTGATTAAGGTGCTGGTTACAACGCCCATGTCCAGGGTTGGCATTGTAGGGTGATGTGTAGGGTGAGTCCCGGCTGCTCCACTTGCAATCCAGCTCCCTGCTAACGAGCCCAGGAAGGCAGTACAAGATGCCCAAATGCTCTGGCCCTTGCATCCATATGGGAGACCCAGAAGAAGCTGCTGGCTGCTAACTCCGGCGTGGCCTAGCCCTGGCTGATGCAGCCATTTGGGGAGTGCACCTGTACAGAGATCTCTTTCTGTATGTCTCTCTCTGTAACTCGCCTTACAAGTGATTATGTATGCATAGTGCCTGGGTTTAATTCTCAGCTGCAGCTCCTCACTGCAGCTCCCTGCCAGTGCAGACACTGGAAGGCAGCGGTGACTTCTCCCGTAGCTGAATCCCTGCCACCTACATGGGAGGCCTAGACTGAGCTCCCAGCACCCAGTGAGTTCCTTGGCCCAGCAGTTACAAACTTTTGGGAAGTGCAGCAGCAGATGGAAGTTGTACCTCTTGGCCTAACTTATTAATTCTTTGGGAAAAAAAAATGTTTATAGGAGAACAAACTAAAACACTGAAAAAATACAAAATGGAGAAGAGTACACAAGTAGTGCATTTCCCAAAGGCAGCTGTTGGTAACATCTTAATAGATTCTGCTAATGTGATTGAAAAAGGAAAAAAATAATCCAGAGATATGATTTGACTATCCCATAAAGTATCTCTTCCTCCATCCTCATCTGCTCATGTTGGAAAAACCCTTCAGCAAGAACGAAGGAGCTACTGTCCCTTCAACAGAGCTGCCTGTCCGAGGGCCTGGCCAATGGAGCCAGTGAGACCTGCCAGAGCCAGGAGCCACAGGCCAACAGGAGGCTAGATTGCACAAGCAAAAAAAGCCCTGGCCCCCTGGGGCTCAGCAGGCGGTAGTCCTCAGGCTCATGGCCAAGGGAGGTCTCAAGGCTGCACTTCCCCACTTTCCTGACCTTGAGGACTGCAGTGGGACTGGCTCTGCTGCCACTGCAGGATGCACCTGCCACGCCAGTGACCATCGGCCCACCCACACGCCCTCTCCTCTCCAGCGTTCTGCCTGCAACTGCAGGTCGGCTCTCTCTGTTGCCCGCGGTACGGAGTGTTTCGATTGCACCGTTCAGGAAACTGATGGCTTATCTCTTGAGATACTCGCTCCAGGAGCTGGCATCCCACACTGCTGCATTGCCAAGGCATGCAGAGTCAGCATTCACAGAAAACAGAACACTCCAGAAACCTGTCCAGGGTCCAAGGCTCCTGCCATGAGCCGGGAAGCAAAAAGGACTGCAATGCAGTCTAAAAAGGCTGGGCTGGTTTTGGGGTGTGGGTTTAGATTCTCTTGAAACTGCGCCCCCTAAAGAGAGGTCAGCTTCACAGATGGGTCCCATCAGCCCTTAACCAAGAAAACAGGAACTGCATTTGGTTTTGAAATAGGTGGTATACTTTCTTTTTCCATCTGATATTTTCCCCCCTCCATCATGGATTAAGCATCCTAATTACATAGCACAACGGCTAATGGTCACGGAAGCCCAGTGCCTCCGAGTCTGGCAGGAACCTCAGAGGTACCTCATTGACTCGGATGACAAAGAAACCCTCTCGCCCACAAGGGAAGCTCTGCACGCCCTGTGAGTCACCCTGCTCTGGCAGCCCCGGCCAGCACCGGTCAGCTTGGCTGTGAAAACGCCTTTAAATAATGCAGCAAGACAAGGCCTTGGACTCATCCCTGGAAGAAGGAGGTGCCCCTGGCCCACACAGCCCTGATGCCATCCCCTGGCTTCACGTAAACCTAGAAAAGCATCCATCTCCCCCCGACCCCGCCACCGGGGGTTTCCAGTCTTACCCCAGCCCCTCCAAACCTCCAGCCTCAACTGAGAAATCGGGTTCTGAGTAGGTGTCTTTAAAACCGAAAATAACCCAAATCACACCAAACCAAAGCAAACTGCAAACCTCTGCCAAGCCCCTGCATTTGTTTCAAAACTCAGCCTGGGGCACAGCCACAGTTTGTCTTTGCACAGACGTGGGCACTTTCGCTCCAATTCTGTGGGCCTTTTGGGGGCGAGAAGGGCAGGTCAGAGCCTGCTCACGCAGGCAAGGGCTGAGGAGGCACTGCATGGGGACACAACAGGCTGTCCCGCAGTGGGCGGGTGGCTTCTTTGCAGCTTCCACTGCCCCTGTGAACCCCCTATCCTTCTTCCTCTCACGTTCCAGCCAGCCCAGAGGTTGGCAACAGGAAGTCTATCTATTTCTGTTGTTCTGTAGAGTGGCCCATGGAATCCAGGAATAGAGGCGCTGGGCTGTGGCAAGAAGGGAACAGAGGGGTTCTGGCCACTGAAAAGCCACAGGGGCAGTCTGCTTCCCGTGGGAGTCTGGGTGGGCTCCAGGGCAGTGCAGGATGAGAACGGTGCCCTGCTCATGAGTCCTGGGAGGAGCACATCGCCGGGCTTACGGAAGGGGTGGCAGGTGTCTTACCTGGGAAAAAGAAGGTGAAAAGAGGCAGGACCCTCCCTCCCTTGGGAGGTTAAGCCCAGCTTAGCCCTAGGTGCGCTGTCTGCTCTGAGAGGATCCTCTGCAGCCAGGGAGCAGGGAGCAAACCTTTCCTTGTTGCGAGAGCAATCTCGGGGCATGCAGGCAATCCTGGCCACATTTGGTTCTCAGTTTCTTCCTTGATTGCCAGTCCCTATCATTACCCTACTTTTTTAAAAAAAAGATTTATTTTTATTGCAAAGTCAGATATACAGAGAGGAGGAGAGACAGAGAGGAAAATCTTCCATCCGAAGATTCACTCCCCAAGCGGCCGCAACGGCTGGATCTCAGCCAATCTGAAGCCTCTTTGGGGTCTCCCACGTAGGTGCAGGGTTCCAAACCTTTGGGCCATCCTCGACTGCTTTCCCAGGCCATGAGCAGGGAGCTGGATGGGAAGCAGGGCTGCTGGGATTAGAACCAACACCCATATGGGATCCTGGCACATTCAAGGCAAGGACTTTAGCCACCAGGCCACAGCGCCAGGCCCTATCCTACTGTTAAAACTAGGTCTCCAGCCCTCACCTGGTCTTGGCAACGTGTCCAATTTTGACCAGGTAACTTCTCGTGGTCACCCGCCAAGTAAACCTCTTAGAGGTTAGCACAGCCCAATTTCAGGGAGAATAGGGACCCTACAATATCATGGGGTGCCCCAAAGCAGACCATGCAGTCCCATACAAAGCAGAGACAGAGGGGTGAGGCGTGAGTGTTGGGGGGAGACCATGCTCCCACCTCTGACCCTGTGGCACACTGCCAGGTCCAGGGAAGTGTGCTGGGACTGTGCTAGAAGGTGACACATAAACCATGGGACACTGAGGTGAGTCCCAGCCGCCCGCAGCTCCTGCTCCCGGGACCTGGTGCCTTGGGACAACGGGCTGACTCCGGGGCTGCCTTGTGACTCTTGCGGATATCTGAGGCGAGCCACGCACAGGCCCTGGATTCTCAGCTCTCCTGGCTGAAGGGCAGCTTAGCTATTTTCCAGATGGGATTATTTTGAGTCCTTTCCACCACTGGGGTCACCTCTGCACTTGCTCCCCACTTCCTCTCTGAGAGCCTAGTCCTCCTCCCCTTGAACAACAACAACAGGGGGGCTCCTGGCTCAGCTGCAAGCCCCCAGCCTTCCTGAACGTGGCTGAGAGAGGCTGCCCTTCCAGCGCTGGTTCTTGGCCCGCCTGAGTTTGTCCTCCCACGGCACTTGTGGCCTGGTGACATTCTGGCTGTCACAGCTGGGAGAAGAGGTGACTGTTGGCACCCAGTGGGTAGAGGCTGCGGTGCCACTGAACATCCCCATGACAAGCCCAAGATGTGGACAAAGACAAGCTTGAGAAACCCTGCATTACAGTGCAAAATTTAGTGGGTGATTTTCATTTTATCAGAAAGGCAAAGAAACAGAAATAGAGACAGGGTAGAGAGAGAAAGATCTGCCAGTTGTCGGTTCACTCCCCCAATGTCCACAGCAGCCAGGACTGGCCCAGGCCAAAGCCAGGAGCCTGGCACTCAACCTGAATGTTTCCCCCATGGGTGGCAGACGCGCAGGCCCTCAGGCTGTTCCCTGCTGCTACCTGCCGAGATGTACCTTAGCAGGAAGCTGATGGGAAAAAGTCACGGGTTGAAGCAGGCATTCTGATAAGGGATGCAGGTGGTGTCACCTGGGACAACCTCACTGCTGTACCAAACCAACAGCTGCCCTGCATCAGCATTTTAGGCTAAAACCACCTGCCAAGACGTTCCCCACAGGCTCCCCAACGGTGGGATCTTCCTGTCTGGCTCACTCACAGCTGGCCTCCCCAGTGTCCGGAGCAATGCTGGACCCGCAGGTGGACACGACAAACAGCTGTGGAATAAAGGCACTGTCCCCTTTCTGTTGTGGGAACAAGCCACATGCAAGAGGTTTCCTGAATCTTTTCCTTACATTGCTGAGGTGCATGCATGAATCGCAATGATGGCAATCTCTATAAGGTAGCCAGAGGCAGGCTGCTTTAAGCTGGTGGCTAAGATGCCTGCGACACACGAGTGCCTGGTATAATACCTTGCACCTGTTCCTGCCCATGTAGACCTGGGAAGCAACGGTGATGGCTCAGCATACTGGGTTCCTGTTACCCTCCTGGGACACCTGAAGTGACATCCCTGCTGCCACCCAGCGCTGGCCAGAAGGGAGGAGAGAACTGGCAGAGGTGCCCAGCCTCCTGTTCTCTCATTCCTCCTTCTGCAACAAATACATTTGTTAGAATTTAAATAATAAAAGATAACGCATGGATTGAGTCTGGGCCCCCTCCTTCCTCCTCATATGGCTTTTTACTATTTATTCTAGACCATTCTGTAGTGTTCACGTGTTTCTATCAATGTGATGGTGTTCAGATAATCCTAATCACCCAGGGTCACTAGCATGCAGGTGGAAGGGATTCTGACCCTCGCACTTGGCATCTTAAAGGAATCATCCCCCATGGGAAAAGAGACCTATAGGTGGTCAGCAGTGTGGACGGGGGAACCAGGTGGGCTCCCAAGAACATGGAACAATAACTGTCTCCCCATAGTGGACACAGAAGAAAAAAAAAGGAAAAAAAAACTGAAACATTTATCTTACCCACTTTCTTCCATACCTTGATTCCCCCCACCCTAAACAGAGGCCCACAAGGACATGCATCACTCTCAACTATGTAAAAATATTAAAAATAAAATTTAAACTAAAAAAATTCCAGGACCTTCAAGCAAATGCTACGTTGTAGCAAGAACTTGCTTGCCTCAGTCACCCAGCCATCCCTCAGCTGGCAGTCACATCTAAGGTCCTCCTTCGCCCCTGCAACGCTGCAGCTCGGTCACGGGGCCACGAGTGACTCTGAGCGCAAGCGCCCTTCTCCGATGGGAAGCAGCCGCTGGGGCTTTGGTGATGTAACTGCAAAGATGGCTGAGATATTTGTGCATGTGCGGCCCAGCCCATGAACACTTGGCCCCCCCTGATAAGCACTCTAACTACACCAAGTCAGCTCTATAAAAAGCAGCCCGTCTGGCCCTCTTCCCGGCCGGCCTGACATCACGGATTCCAGGCTGTGCTGTTGTTGTCGCACCTGCTGGCACCCGCTGACAGCACGCTGCCTCCTCCTGATTACATGGGGCTGACCCGCAGTGCCTGGGGGGCCCCTGCAGGCTGCCAGGGAGCAGGCCTACCCGACCTCTACCAAGGCCTGCAGGCCTGCTTACCCTTTCTTTCCTATGGGCTTCTTCCCCAGTGGGTCTGGGGAGGCTGGACAAAGCCTGGGAACTACTCTATTCTACCGCATTCTTCATGCCAGAATACATTATGCTACCAGTAAAAAGCAAGCTGATCTTTTAAGAATCAGCTCTGGGGCCTGGCGTGATGGCCTAGTGGCTAAAGTCCTTGCCTTGAATGCGCCGGGATCCCATATGGGCGCCAGTTCTAATCCCAGCAGCCCCGCTTCCCATCCAGCTCCCTGCTTGTGGCCTGGGAAAGCAGAGGAGGATGGCCCAAAGCTTTGGAACCCTGCGCCCGTGTGGGAGACCTAGAGGAAGTTCCTGGCTCCTGGCTTCAGATCAGCTCAGTACCAGCCATCGTGGTTGCTTGGGCAGTGAATCATCGGATGGAAGATCTTCCTCTGTCTCTTCTCCTCTCTGCATATCTGACTTTGCAATAAAAATAAATAGATCTTAAAAAAAAAAATGTGCTCTGAGCACATGACCTTGCTTCTAGGAAGGTGGGTCTTAGCAGGTGAATGTGGAGCAGAGGGGTGGGGAAGAGTCCTCCTGTGAATTAGGAGGAAGCCAAGAAGCCCCCTATTGCACACCATGGCTTCATAGGATGGTAGTGCTTGCTGATCTACACAACACAGCTTCTCTGCCAGCAGGTGGCCTCCTGGGCAGGCCTCCACAGGGAGATAGTTACTACGTGTTTGTGATAAAGCACACACCCCAGAGACTGTCACTGGTTTGTAGAAGCTTCACTGTCAACAGCAGGGAGAACATTCTTCTTTCCCTGCTGGCCTGGTGGGGCCACATCCCTGCCCCCTCCCCTTCAAGGGCAAGTAGACTCCTGTCTGGGGGCCAAGTAATGGCCAGGGACATGCTGCCTTCTCATAGCCACCCCCAGGACACCCACCAACCTCCCCCGCAAGCACCAAGCCTGGACCCCCCAGAGCATCGGGGATCTGCAGCCCACCATTAGCATGGCCCAGGTCAACCTGGGAGACATGGCTGCCGCTGCAGCTTTCCTGCAGGAGACACAACCAAGACAGGAGCTGGGGAGGGGAACCAACTCCGGAGTCTTCTTCCCCTAGCCAGGATCCCCACACACACATGCGGCCCACTTCAACATGGGATTGTCCAGTGGCAAATCCATGCTGCAGAGACCCAAGTCTTAGAAGTCTCTATCTGGAAGTACCCAGACTATGGAGGTGCTGGGAGAACCCCCTGAGGTCTCTGGCCACCCCAACATCCAGCATCCTTCTCGCTGTAAATCCCAACACCTCCGAGCAGTTTGGGTCTCCTACCTCAGCAAGGCGGTGCTGGTGACATTGGCTGGTACTCTGCCTGGCCAGTAAGCCAGCGCCGGGACCCGGTGGCCTCCCTCCCAGGTGGTCTGCTTGGCTGGACTCCCCCCTGTAGGAGGAAGAGGAGGGACAGGTGCTTCATTGAGGATGACAACTCAGCTAAAAGCCGGTCTCTGGGTCAACAGTCCCGATCTAAGAGTGCCCAATTTTCCCAATGAGCACATTGTTTTTTAGCTAACTCGGTGTATTGCACTCTGCAGTGGGCTACGAACCCTAGCATGTTATGGGTTGGTTCTGTAAGACTCTTCCTGACTTGCTCCCCTTGTGCCCCCACATCATAAGGCGTCATCGGTTTTGTGCACTAGTAGGAGCTTCACAAATATCTGAGGAATAAACAAATCTGCCTTCCTTATGATCATAATATACCCACCTATTTGGAATGAAAAAATACAATGATTCACCAAGAGAGAAAAAGGCAGACATTCCCCCAGCTGTTCGATTCGCCTAATACACAGCAAGTGAGCTAGCTTGGATCTTACTGTTTTGCTTTGCTCTGTTTTGTTTTTCCTCGAACGGATGAGTTGTTCTGAAGTTGTGGAGACTCTTGCCTCTTGGGGCGAGGGAAGAGCAATCTCCGTGCAATCTATGAATTTCCAACATTAGTAATTAAAAGAATTATTTTTGTATCCAGCAAGCCAAAAGTGAGCACCAGGGTGAACGATGGCCAGCGGGCTGGAAGGGATGAGGTCATGTTCTATGGAAACATCCTGAATACATGTTACATTGAATTAACCATGACCATCCCCACCACTCCCACACATACCCCACCCTCATCCTGGTTGAGCCAGAGGCCAAAGATTCCACAAAGTTCGCGTGTACAAAGCCCTTCCAAAGCAAACGCGTTCCGAGGCTTGTACTCAACTGTGGTCATGCAACTTCCCCACATTTGGCGAGTGTGAAAAATCCAAGCAATCGTGAGGAGGGGCAGGGCGGGAGGACAAGATGAAAGCTGCCGTCACTGGGCGCTCACACTGCTGGAAACAGGCCCTTTGATGTCGCTGGCCCAGTACCCCCTACCGGAAATGCTCAGGATTCCCTGGAGGAGTCCCCCATCAAGTGTTGAAGTCAGAAACAAAACAACTCCCATCCTATGGGCTGTTTATGTGGAAGGCTGTGGGGCTTGAGAAACAAAATGAACACCCTGCAGTCGGAGTGAGAACCTCTTTGATCTCATCTGACATTGCTCAAGTGTATTCCCACCTTCCAGGGCCTTGTCTCTCCCAAATACACACAGCATCCACCGCCATTATACACGCATGGAGCAGAGAATGCAGAACTGCAGCAAGCACAACACGCATTTCCACGTGGCCCTGGAGTGCTCCACTTAATGCCTCAGCCTAAGCCAGAGAGGAAATAGCCATCACACACACACTGCAGTTTTGTGAATTCTACACCCATGAGGGGCGGGGGGCACCCTTGAAGACTTGTAGCCTGTTGATTTACACATCCATGGTGGACAACATTCAAATGCCCTTGCTTGACCTTTGAGGACAGATGTTATGGGAAGGTCAAGGCTCTCGTTTCAAATTATTAGCCTGGCTGGTCATCCAGAGAGCAGGAGCTGTGTGTCTGCTCTGTGATAGGCAATGAGCGCAGGTGTGGCACAGGGGGTTGGCTCCCTGCCTCCAGCATGCTCCTAGAAGGGTAAACTGGCTCCTAATGAACACACATGCTAACTGATCTTCACCACCAGGGATTTGTTTTTTCATGAATCTGTGTTGTTCTTTTGCAAGGGACTGACTTCCAGGAGGAACGCATCAGCTGTGACACACGGCTGACTCAACACAAGCCCCTCTCTGTCGCGAAGCTGACTAGCTCAATGCTGGCTACATATTGGTTTTGGTTTTTAACAGAAAGACACAATGTACATTCCAGCCAGGAAAATAGTCACAGGCCCACAGTGGCAGTGCTGTGGAACAGCAGGTAAGGCCTCCACCTGCAATTTCAGCTGCTCTACCTCCAATCCAGCTCCCCACAATCCATCCGGGAAAGCAGAGGAAGATGCCCCAAGTACTTGGGAGAACCAGATGGGGTTACAGGTCCCTGGCTTCTATAAAACATAATTTTTAAACATTTGACTTCAGATACCCACACCAAGGCCCCTTCCCAGCAACTCTGATTTCACCAGCCTGGGGCGGAAGATGGCTGCTGATGCCAAGGTACCCAATCCCAGGACTTCCCATGCAGAATACTTTCCCAGGCAAGATTGGGATAACACGTTCCCAAACAAAAGACAGTTTAGGGGCTCTTGAATGCTAGGCTTTATTTGGCCCACACCTTCCTAAATTTATGTCACAGCATCATGAAGATGGCATATCAATGCTGAGGTATATCAGGACAGAGAAGCCCATAACGAACCCTCTGCGCATCTTTCCACTTCGAAAGCTGTTTGTGGCTTGCGATAAGGCTCATACTTTGAGCCCGCAGCACAGCTGCATTAGGTGTGTGCACTGCACTTGGCTTTCTGTTGAGGAATGCATGTCTTAGGGCCGTGAGAATGCATGTGGTTACTTACGACTCTAATTAAAGCAGAACCTCTTACTTAAAGCAATAAATATTTAGCCTCAGCAACCAAAATACAAACAGAATCATGATTCACGAGTTCGCCTGCTTGTTCTTCTGTGGCTACGGAAGTGAGGTGGCATTCCGTGAAGACAGCCTGGCCCATGTGAAGACCTGTGGTCTTTCTTGGAAGTGACCCAAGGCAGTGGTGCTCATTGCGAGTGGGGAAGGCAGGGGAGTCTGTGAACTTCTCCACACAGTGCAATCCCTGGTGAGAACTCCCCTCAAAGTAGGGTTCCTGAATTCCGTTCCCAGCAATTCCAGTTTAACACCTCTGGGGTGGGGCTCTAATTCTAGGTAATTCTACCACCAACAGCCGAAGGACCCATGTTGGGGAAGCGTTCCCAGGGGACATCGGAGGGGCTTCCAGAGGCAGACCAATTGGAGTTCTAACCCCAGTGTGTGCCTTCTAATCACATGGCTGTGGGCTCTGCTTCCCTATGTTCTGATCCGCTGGACCATAAAGGGGAAATGATGGTGCTTATCTCCTGGGCATCCTGGAATGGATATGGAAGGTCACGTCCACCAAGTCCTACACAGGGCACTTCCGCATGGTGCTGGCCTCCTGAGCAACCAACACATGCAATAAAATCAAAAGCCCACATGATCTACAGGTGGTCAGTAGCCGAGATGGTAACCTGAATGCTCACTCCCAGACTCCACCCCTCCGACAGCTTGCTTGGGCGTGCATCGCATCCTACTTTTATTGGTAACATTATTTCGAATGCCCTTAGATAGGGCCCTCTCTCCAGTGCACTGACTCTCTAATGCTGTCCCCAACTGGCAAAATAACAGCATTTGTCCCCTTAGGACACTTGCCTGTCCCACAGGGCATTATTGGGCATTTGCTCTGAGCAGTGCTCATTCTGCAACCTTCTAAAGAAGCAGGCTTCGTTTCTAAGTATAACTACGTGCCCTTGCCAAGGATGCCCATAGTGTACTGTTTTCTAGAAACACAGGGTAGCCAGGCCTCTTCTGTTCGCACCCAGGACTCTGGCTGGCCCAGAGTGACCTTGTGGAGACGCTCCATCAAGCCTGCTGGCCAAAGGCCCAGTGGGAGATATGAGGTGACAGTTCCATCAGCAGGCTCTGTCCCTTGGCCACTCTGCACCTTGCTCGCTCACCCCACAGCACCTCTGACCTTTCCCTACCCCACCCCCACCTCAAACTGGACAGAAGGCCCCGGATGCAGACCGGCTTCCTACTGGGGAAGGTTATGTAACACCCTGATAGCATCAAATTACAAACAACCGGGGTTTCTAGAAGCTGCGATGCCAAATTCAACAGAATGTTTCCTCATCACCGAGGGGAGGAAGGAACAGCTCTGTTCTTCAAATAAAACAAGGAAAGATTTTCCAGACAGAGGAGCCGTCCCTGAGGGGGGATAACAAGGTGTCGGTTCTGTCCCGGGTAGGAAACAGGTCCCAAGAAGGGTCGGTTGACAGGAGCCAGGTCTCCTGGGCGGGCCTGTGGGTGCCGGCACAGCAGTGGGAAGGAAGGTCTCTGCTCCGCTGACCAACCCCACACCCCTGCTCCAGCCCCGCCAGTTTGCCGTTGGGCTGCTTCGCATCCCTGCAGGGCACAAGTCAAGTGGAGCATCCTTGTCGGGCACCGGGTAAAGCGGTGACTGGCTGGAGCTGCTGCCTCCTCCTAGCAGCCCAGCCGGGCGGCTTGGCCAGGAAAGGAAAAAGCCAAGGAGGGAGGCCGGGGGGCCCCAGGAGCAGGGTGAAGACAGCGCGTGGCCTGACGTAGCGGGCTGGCTTCGGTGAGAAAGAAGCAGGGCTCCGGTACTGTTTGTCCTGCTCCGTTGCGAAAACACTGCCTGGCTTCTCTCTTTGATCTGCTCTGAGACTGGGCCCCCTTACAGCGGGGGGTGCGCACGTCCCATTGATGAGGAACCTGGGCCAGCAGGAGCACAGAGTGCGGAGCGACCCCAGCAGCCTCCCCAACTCCGCTCCAGGAGCCGTGCAGCCCAGCCCGCCTCCCGGAGCGCCCCCAGCCGAATTCAGGCAGAGGCAAGGGGCAGGGGAGGCTATGCGCATGTTGACAGGAAACTCATCTGGAGGGCAAGGAAGCAGGAGTACTTGTCCCCACACAGCTGACCACCCTGCAGGTTAAGTGAATGCTCAGGATTCCCAAGATAGGGCAGCTCAGCCGCACCCCGCCACAAGCCAGGTGCTGGGTCCCACAGATAATACATGGAGCCTCGAGGTTTGCGGCAAGACCTAGCCTAAGAGTGGGAGCTGCCCGGACAGGATTACAGCCCTGCCCAGAGCAAAGCTTCCCATGACACTCACTCTATCCCCAGCACACTGGCTAGGCCAGCACTTCAGGAAGCGTAAAAGGGCCAGGGGCAGTTTCTCATCCTTTGCTTCTCTGTGCAGGTTGTTATGGCCAGAACGAAGGAACTGAGTCTTGTGAAATCATCCATGGAGGCCAAGTGGATGGCTAGGTGCCTCTCTCCTGTCTGATACCCCAGTCCTTTCCCCAGCAAGGCACACTGGTGGGCCCGAGATCTGAAGCCCACCCTGGGCCCCAAACCCATGGCCTCTTTCCCCCTCTCCACCATGCCTCCCACTGATTGAGCAAGACTCAGGCCGCCACTGGGGAGAAAGACATTTTCCTTGACAGTCGTGAGATTCAAAGAGGCGAGACAGGATTTTCCAGAAGGCTGGGCGGCAGAACGAGGTGTGTGCGGCAGTGCTTAAGGGCTGGACCAGGCTGCTGGGGGTGCTGCTGGACCTCGGGCTGGTCCTCCCTGAGCCTGCGGCTGATTCCCCACGCGGCCAACAAGAAGGCAAGAAGAAAAGGCATAGAGGTCTCTTCCAACTCTGCATGCCCCAAATGCAGGGAGAGTCCTGGAGGTTTTTTTTTTTTTTTTTTTCTTTTCACTCTCCCCAAATACCCACAGCAGCCAGGGAGGGCTCAGCTCAAATCTGGGAGCTGTGAACTCTGTCCACAGATGCCATGGGGTTGGCAGGTACCCTGTCACCTCAGCCATCATGTGCTGCCTCCCATACTGGGCATGAACACAAAACTAGAATGCAGAGCAAAGAAAGGCCTCAAGCCCAGGCACCCTAACGTGGAACATGGGCATCCCAAGCTGAATCGTAACCACCGTGCCTGCCCTGTTCCTGGAAATTTTTGTCACTGGCCTAGTGACAATAAATAAAAAGCTTTATTTTATTGATTTGAAAGGAAGAGTTACACAGAGCAAGAGAGAGATCTCCCATCTATTAGTTCACTGCTCAAATGGTCACAATGGCCAGGACTGGGCCAGGTCGAAGCCAGGAGCTTCACCCAGGTCTCCCACATGGGTACAGCAACCCAAGCACTTGGGCCATCCTCCACTGCCATAAGCAGAGAGCTGGATCATAAGTGGAGCAGCCAGGACTTGAACCTGCGCCCATCTAGGATGCCAACAGCTCAGGCAACAGTCTAATCTGTTATAGCACAGTGCCAGGCCCACAATTATACTTCCTATCCTTCTGCTGGTGCTCAGCTTCACTGATGTTAAAAGTAATGCTGAAAATGGAGCAAGAAGTCTGGCAGGAGGTGGGGGGAAGGAGGGGTGAGACGGGAGCACCTGCGGCAGGGACATGATGTTCTGGGACCAGCCAGGGTTGGTGGCATGATACTACAAATGTGCCTAATGCTGTTGAACTGCACAATTTGAAATCGTTCATTTTTATGGGATGTGAATTTCACTTCAATTTTTAAAACTGAACATCACCTTTGCTCTTTAAGCCCTTCTGCATTTCCTCCGAACTCAGGTCAAAAATCATTTACTGGAAGGAGAAGATCTTCTACTCCACCTGCCTGCGACACGCTGCCAACACAAAGCTGCCTGGGCAGCTGCACACAGGCCTGTGCCCTGCTCTGGCCTTTCCAGCCCCAGGCAGACCCCTCTCTGGCTGTCTCCTACTCATTCCCAGAAACACAGATCTCCCCAAGGATACCTGATATACCACCGAATACAGTGGCTACCAGCCATGGGCAGCTTCTGAGCCAGAGACCTGGGACCAAGGCAGTGGCCTCTAATTAATGTGGGTAATACTACACATAGCAAACAGTGTTAATCTGCATCCACATGACCCAAAGGACTTGCTAAAACACGGGTTGTGAGCCCCAGCCCCAGGGTATCTGCCTCAGCAGAGGGGAGAACTTGTATTGCTAATGAGTTTTCAGGAAGAGCTCATGATGCTGGTGTGGGTAGCCCAGTTTGATAACCACTGGTCCAGAGCTGAAAGCTGGACTCAGAGAATTCTAGTCTCTTGTGATCCCTAAACTCAGATGCTCTATACTGGCAGTTCTCCAAATGCAGTTCCGCGGACCAACCATCTCAGCATCACCTAGGTGTGTATTAGAAATGCCACACCCTGAGCTGGTGTTGCCATGCAGCAGATAAAATGACAATGTCTACAATGCTGGCACCCCATATGGGCACCGGTTCATGTCCCAGCTGCCACTTTTCCCATTAGCTTCTGCCACCTACTTGGGACATCTGGATGCAGCTCCATGGCTTTGGCCTGGTCCAGCCCTGACTGTTGCAGCTCTAACTACAATGAACCTGTAGACAGAAGTTCTCTCTCAGAGGCAGCAACAGGACATAGAAGCTAATGGGCTGGGAAAGCAGCAGAGGCTGGCCCAAGTCCCTGGCTCTTACACCCACATGGGAGACCTGGAAGAAGTACCTAGCTCCTGACCTGGGACCAGCCCAGTTCTGGCTGTGGGGGCCATCTGTGGGGTTAACCAGCAGATGGAAGACCTCCTTCTCTCCTCTCTGTAAGTCTGCCTTTTAAATGAAATATATATATATATCCTTTTGTTTTTTAAGTTCTCTGTCTCTCCCTTGCTCTCCCTTGCCTTTCAAATAAATCAGTCTAAAAAAAGAAAGGCCACACCTTTCCCACCAAGTCAGCTCTCCTGTGTCAACAGGACCATCTGCCTGCTGCAGCCAGACGATCTCCACACTCGATGCTCAGGCCTTGGGGTCAGGGGTTTCCTTGGATCTTGCTAACTCCAGGCATGGAGCCTGGTTCCTGGTACACAGTAAGCACTCACTAAGTAGGGAGATTGGGACAGAGTAGGTCTACAGGAGACAGGGAGGGAGGGAAGGAGGGTAACAGGTGGCCAGCTGGTGAATGTGTTTCTCACCGAGCAAAGTCCTTTCTGTAGAAGCCAGAGTCTGTGTCCCGAAACCTGACTCACTATTGCGACACTGCCTGGTTTGGGGGTAGGGAGAACAGGCAAGACGAATCCTGAGGACAGGAGCTGGTTGTCTTCTTGGGGATCCAAGAGCTATCCACCGAGGAACCCCTAGCCACAGGGCCTTGACCCCCACCCCTGTCCCTAGTCTCCATGTGTTCTGGACTGTTAGCCCTGAGAAAGCTGAATCCATTCCATCCCAGGCACTCCCTGAAGATAGCTGCCTGGCCCCAAGGTGTCACAGACCAGAGGTCAGAAATTCCCATCAGCTCATGCCAGATGCCACTCCCAGCCACATGTGGTTCCTACAGGCTGTGGCAGCTCACGAGGCGTCACACAGATCTCATCCACTTCTAATTCTCCCTGGCAACTGTGCCCCGCCCAGTGCTCTCCAGGAATCAGACCTTGAAATCACTGGAGGGAACCCAAGAGATCAACAGAGAGAGAACAAGAGACATCAACCCACAGGCTGAGACAGAGCAGCTTGCTTGCCAAGCAGGTCCAGCAGAAGAGGGACCACTCAGTCCTCCCAAGCCCAGCTCCATCTCCAGGCATGACAGGTGGCTGCCATCCCACATGCTCACGGAGTCAGTTCTCAAGAGATTGAACCCAAGAGATGCCAGGTCAAAGCTGAAAAGTAAAAACGAGCGGTTGGCACTTTCGACCTGCCATCAGACACCAGGCACACGGAGTCTGTTTCTAGGTAAGTGTTAATCCCCTTTCTACTACAAGAACAGTGAACACGTGTGTGTCCTGCAGACCTGGGCGCCACAGCTCTGCAGTAACTCGTAAAGCTTGGCCTGACACACAAGGTTTCCCCAGCATCCCTGAGCATGGAGCATGGGTAATCCTGCCAGGTCCATCTCTGAACCCAAGACACATACACCTACTAAAAAGTTTTAGTTTTTTTCTGACACAAATAATACATTAAAAGCTTCTTTCCCCACCCAGAAAGTGATTACTGATAATGGTTTGTCCCTTTAGCTGCCTCCCTCAAGGTTTTCTCAGAACACATACACTTATTTTTATGTAATAGCATTAAATTTTATATACACCCAAAGAATGAATTATTGTATTTTTCACAACACACTGTATTGATGGGAAAATATTTCATGCAAACGTTTCCAGGTCAAGACATAAACACGGTCTCAGAATGAACATCCCTCCACACGCATCCCTTTCCTTATGACAGATTCTTGCAGGAGGAATTGATGCATCCAAAGACACACGTATTGTTCAAGCCACTGGCACCTGCCAGATTGTCCCCAGCTGAGGAATGTATAAACAGGGACAGAGGCAGCAAGGGCAGGCGGAGTGGCCTATGGGGATAGCACCGACCTTTTAACTTCCGGGGTAAGCTTGGTTCCATCCTCACAAACTGTGTGTCTGCACTCAAGTTACTGGGCCCTGTGCACTTCTCTCTTCACCGGCAAATGCAGTCACCCACTTCCTTTCACTACCATGGGATTGAGAGACAAGACATACAAGTATCTTGCAGAGTTGTGTACTAAGCTTTTCTTGAATGAATGGCATGCAGGAATGCTTAGATGAATGGAGGGATGATGCAAATTTTAAAAAAAGAGAGAGAGGAATTGAGGGGGCAGAGTAGGGGTGGCAAGAAGACTGGTGTCACAAGGTATGCGCCCAGATTGTTGGGGAGGAGACTGCTCCCTGAGATGAACAGGGAGAATAGAGTGGAAAGACTGGGACAGACCAGGTTCCCTTCTTTCCATCCCAACCTGCTACTTCTCTGGGAGTTGTGGCTACTGAGCCACTGTGCCCGCTTTCCAGAGATGCCTTCCACGCCCCAGGCACCCCCAGTGGGCCCCACTGAGCCTGGCTGAAACCTCTACCTTGATGAGTCTGCCACGCTCCAGTGAAGGGCCCCACACTGCCCGCCAGTTCACACTTCTGAGCCCAGGGCCCGTTGTCTCCTAGAAACAAACAAAAAAATCAACATGAGCTGGTCAAGAGATTGAGGGGGACGCTCTGACCAGTACCCTCTCTCTGGACCTGTATCCCTGTGGAAGTCCCTCCTGGGGACTAGACAAAAGGACTGTCCAGGGGCCTGGGTGGATGGCTCAGTGGTTAAATCCTCACCTTGCAAACACCAGGATCCCATGTGGGTGCCAGTTCGCGTCCTGGCTGCTCTCCTTCCCATCCAGCTCTCTGTTTGTGGCCTGGGAAAGCAGTTGAGGATGGCCCAAAGCCTTGGGACCCTGCATCCATGTGGGAGACCTGGGGGAGGCTCCGGTCTTCTGCCTTTAGTTCAACTCAGCTCTGGCCAATATGGCTACTTGGCAAGTGAACCAGCAGAGATCTTTTTTCTCTCTGTTTCTCCTTTCTGTAAATCTGCCTTTCTAATAAACAAATAAATAAAGCCTTTTTTTTTTAAAGGGACTGTCCAGGCAGTAGGCAAATATATTAACTTTTGAAGCCCTGAGGATACAAAGGTATAATAAATTGGGTTTCCGACAGAAGTGGGCATTCCCTGCCCCTGCCAGCCCCATCCAGAGCCTATTCCCTTAGGGCCCTTTGGTTTTTACACAGTGTTAGCAATGCCATCACCGCTGTTATCAGCATGGGCCCTGCACCTGTTCAATGAGTGCCTGCTACACACCCAGCGTTTCTCACACATCATCTCGGAACCTTCCAGCAGGCTGAGCAGTAGATTCCACCAGTGGCTCAACTAGGCAGACAATGAGGTAACTGCCAGCAGTACAGATGGAAACCTAGGCTTCCGTGTGACCCGGAAGCAGTGCATGCAGCTACTGCCCTTGCTCCAGACAGGATACAAATACGCAATGCCATGTGTGAACCCTTCAAAACACACACATTTGGCCTAGGGGTTAGGATGCTGGTGAAGATACACACATTTCCCATCAGAGTACCCAAGTCCAGTTCCTGATGCCAACTTTCTGTAAGACATTACCTGGGAGGCAGGCGTGATGGCCCAAGTACGTGGATCCCTGCCACCCATCTGGGCAACCTGTATTGGGTTCCCAGTTTCCAGTTTTGGTCCAGGCCAGGCTCAGCTGTTGTGGGCATTGAGGGAATGACCTCGTACATGGGTGCCTCCCCCAACCCCAGCCTCTCACATGTAAACACAATTTTCAACATTCGACAGTCAAGCCAACAGACATCATTCAGGGACCCAAGTTCAAAGCCACTCCCTTTTCTGTTAAAAAAGAGCACTGCTCTTCAGGACATTTATGCAGGGTTATCCACTGGACGACAGTTGGTCTGCATGGCTTCTATTACTCTACCTGTAAACCAGAGGAGCGTGTTTTCTTGTGCTGTGTGGTCAACTCTGTCCTTGATCTGACCCACCAACCAGTCCATCTCCCGGAGACTTGCAACGTATGGGCCTGGGCCCTGTGGGTCTGCTGGTGGTTCGGCTGCAGGTAAGGGCACGTGCATGTGGGCCAGGGCCACGTAGAGCAGGAAGGGTCTTCCGCTGGCACTGAAACAGGAGAGCCAGGAGGTAGTCCTGCAGGAGGTCCTCCCCTCCCCCCCCCCGCCGTGCTCCGTGTGTCCTCCCCCACTTTGCAGAATCCTCAAGCCTCCTCCAACCCCAGCACAAGGCAGGACACTCTTACTAGGTTACAAATTAAGAGTAGCTACTGACCTTCAGCACTTCCCAACAGCTTAGCTGCCTGGGGTCATTCTCTTTATAACAACGCAATTCTCTGCAGACCAAGAGGTTCAAGCCAAGGAGGGTGGAATGTCCGTCCCAACAAGGATCTGAACCCACACCTGGCCGAGAGCAAAGCCCCTGCCTGTACCTGTTGTGCCCTGGGAGGCACACTGCCACAGTTAACTCCCAGCATGCACAGCTCTCGCTGACCACACAGAGCTCTTGGGACACAGAGGACCACCCAGGAATGCCTAGTTCAAGGCCATGTTAGAGGCCCTGGCACAAGGCCACCTCTCTAGCCTGATTTCCCCCTGGAAGTCCAGAGGGCAAGGTTTAGACAGAGCCAGGCTGGCATCCAGACACAGACCCAGCGGTTTCCACTTCCAGCCAGAGCTTCCTGCCTCCCACCCTCTCACCCCCACTCCTGGACAACTGCACCTGCAGAGCCAGTCTGCCCCTTTCTGAAGGTCACATTCATGGGAAGGGAGTCTTTTGGAGAACACGAGGTAAGGGTGTGGTCCAGTGAGTCCTGGGAAGTATACGCCAATTCCCCCAGGGATTCACATTGGCCCCAGTACTCCCATCACTGCACCTGCTCTCTCTGACCCCTGGCCTCAGCTCTTCAGCATGTTCCACTCTTCAAGCCCCCTACATCCCAGCTCTGCTGATTTCCACTGTGCTTGCCCTCAGATCTCTGCTCTTTTTAACACTTTACTGAGGCCAGCCATGTTTCACAGTGGGTAAAGCCTCTGCCAACAGTGCCAGTATACTCTTTGGGTACCAGCTCAAGTCCTGGATGCTCCACTTTTGATTCAGCTCCTTGTAAAGGCTTCTGGGAAAGCAGTAGAGGATGACCCTAGAGTTTGAGCCCCGACAGCCATGTTGAAGATCCAGATGAAGCTCTGATTCCTGGCTTAAGCCTGGGCCACCCCCAGCCATTGTGCTATTTGAGGGGTGAACTAGCAGATGTAAGATTTCTCTTTCTGCCTCTCCCTCTTTCTCCATAACATAATCTTTTCAAAAAGTGTATAGTTGTGGATACCAGATAATGACAATGTACTCTTTATTTCTCTAAACAAACCAGATGAAAAGATTTTGAGTGTTTTCCAAACATTCTCCATAAAAGAAATGCTACATGTTTGAGGAGACAGGCGGGTTTACCTCAATCAGAAATCACATGGCATACACACAGAGACCTGCACACGGCACCGTAAAATGTACAACTTTTTTCATTATTAAAAATAAATATAAAATGGAGCTGGCACTGTAGTACAATGGGTTAGGTCACTACTTGAAATATCAGTATCCCGTATCAGAAGGCCAGTTCCAGTCCTGGCTGTTCCACTTCCATCCTAGCTCCCTGAGGATGCATCCGGGAAAGCAGAAGATGGCTCAAGTACTGGGGCTACGGTACCCAGTGGGAGACCAGATGGAGTTCCTGCTGCTGGCTTCAGTCCGGCCAGTCCTGGCCACTGAGGTTATCTGAGATGGAGCCAGCCAATGGAGGGTCTCTTCCTGCCTCTCTCTCTCTCATATACAAACACACACTGGCTTTCAAATAAATAATTCTTTTTAAACAAATAAATTTTAAATTTAAAAACAGCAGGATGTGTATGTGACAGGAGACTCAAGGCAAGAAATTGAGAGTTCAGGTTTAACGGACACAGTTTCCGTTAGAATGGATGAAACAGGGCGTGGAGAGGGATGGCGTGGAGAGGGATGGCGGTGACTGAAGAACAGCGTGATCATGCCTAATCCGCAGAGGCATGCACATAAAACGGTAAAGCTGGTAAACCGGACGCCACAAACATACATATACACAAGGGTATTACCAAAAGATTTATGGAAGACAGAGATAGGGCCAGTATAGTGGATAAATCCACTGCCTGAGGTGCCAGTATCCCACATGGGCACTGGTTCAAGTCCCAGCTGCTTCCAACCCAGAGCCTTGGTCATCACCTGGAAAAGCAGCACAAGTTCTTGGGTTTCCTGCTTATTCACCCAACGATGGTCAAGTACAGCAGCATAACCTGTGGGCTGCTTGCAGGTGCCTCCTGAGGGAGCAAATGAGAACTTACTTCCCACCCCCACCCAAGGCCAAGCTGGCGTCCTGCACAGCACAGTGACCCCAGAGGGGCTGTCGTTTTATAATATGCAAGCAGGTGCCATACTGCAGCAATGTGCTAGAACTGACTCAAATTTCAGGGATTTTTTTTTTTTAAGATTTACTTATTTTTATTGGAAAAGCAGATTTATAGAGAGAAGGAAAAACAAAAAGTTCTTCTATCCTCTGGTTCACTCCCCAAATAGCCACTACAGCCAGAGCTGAGTTGATCTGAAGCCAGGAGCCAGGAGCTTCTCCCACACACATGCGTGCAGGGTCCCAAGGTCCTGGGCCATCCTCCACTGTTTGCCCAGGCCACAAGCAGAGAGCTGGATGGAAATTAGAGCGGCCAGGACACAAATCGGCACCCATAAGGGACCCCAGTGCATGCAGTGGAGGATTGAGCCATTGCGCCAGACTCAATTCCAGGCATTTTTTTTAAGCCAGTTGATAAACATGGCCACTGTTAAACATGAAGTTATATAAGCTGAGAATTAAATAAGTTGTATTAAAAGCAAAGATGATAGAAGCTCCCAATGTGTCAATTCCCATTACATTTTACTGTTATCTCTGCTGCTGCTGTTATTGTGCCTGCTTGTGCCTGTGCAGAGGAAACACCACATAACAGCGTGCTACTGCCCAGCTCCACTCCGCGGTCAGCATGACACTGGCCACAGGGAGGATGTTGATTGACAACAGAGATTGGCAGGTGCTACTAATGGGGTTTGTTCAATCTCTTCCAGTTCACTTCCACATGTGAGCTACACAGGGGTCCTGTGACTCATCCTCGTTCCATCCCCCACCATCAGCCTCCAAATTCCTACCATGATGGAAGTCTTGTTAGCACGCTGGGCGAGATGTTGAGAGAGCCAGGCAGGAATGCAGGATGGCAGAGTGGATCGATGACGGGCACAGGTGGGCAAGACCCACAGGCAAACCTCAGTTCGTCTTAACCTCGTATCTACACCGCCATGAGCAATGAACTGAACCCCTGTCGTGTAGAAAGTGGGGACAATGCCACCTGCCTGACAAGGCAGCTGTAACTGTTAACTGCCCATGTCGATATTTAAGATACAGTCGTTTCTTAGCAGGTATGAGGGCCTGGAACCATGGAACAGCAAGTCAAGCCTCTGTCTACAGTGCTGGCATCCCATGTGGAATGTTCAAGTGCCGGCTGCTCCACTTCTGATCCAGCTCCCTGCTAATGGCCTGGGAAGTAGCAGAGGATAGCCCAAGTCCTTGGGACCCTGCATCCACGTGGGAGACACAGAAGAACTCCCAGAGGCCTGGCTTCAGACCAACCCAGCTCTGGCTATTGCAGCCTTTTGGGAGTGAACCAGCAGATGGAAGATACCGCTCTCTCTTTAAAAAAAAAAAAAAAATAGAACACATAGGAGCATTTAAGGAAAAAAAAAAAGCATAACTGTGAGCCTTGGCCCAATCCTGACTGAAGGTGAAGTTGTAATCTGTGCAGCACCCAGGGGCTGCCCCCAACCATCTGGGAGCTCTAGTATCCGGAATGTGGGGTCGCTGTTGCCTCTCCCCACAAAGCCCAGCATGGGTGAGCAAGGGCCAGGCACTCCCGCACAGTCAACGTCCCTTCTCTGCAGGTGGCACCACTTTGGGTTGGCTCAAGTAGATGGTGGTGCAGCAGATTTTCTTGCCCCCTTGGGCTAAGGCTGCAGAGAATGCCGAAGGACACAGGGAAACCAGTCTCCTGGCCTGGAGGAGTTTATATTCTTAGGAGAAAGAGAAAATGCATGAGGGCAACAGGGAGTCCCCCCCGCCCCCGACACAGGCAGCGAGTAGGGGGTGAGTCCTGAGGCAGGCGGGGTGGGGAAGTGTGAGTGTGTTTGTGTGTGTGTGTGTGTTTGTGTGTGTGTGTGTGTGTGTGTGTGTGTGTGTGTGTGTGTGCGTGTGTGTGAGACACTCTTCATCCTGACCTGACAGAGGCTGCAAATCAACCCACAGTTACACAGCTTCCTGGGACACCAGGATGCCATATAGGCACCAGCTTAAGACCTGGTGCTCCACTTCCAATTCAGTGCCCTGCTCATGCACGTGGGAAAACAGTGGAAGATGGCTCAACTGTTTGGGCCCCTACACCCATGTGGGAGACCCAGAAGAAGCCTTTGGCCCTGGCCTGGCCATGAACATTGTAGCCAACTGGGGAGTAAACCAGCAAAGCAAAGATTTCTCTCTGTCTCTCCTTCTCTCTCTGTAACTCTGACTTTCAAAAATAAATGAACCATTAAAAGAGAAATTGGTGGCTGTCTGTTACAGTAACAACAGGCAACTAAGCCCTGATGCCCAAAATACAGCAGGCTGGCACTCGCCTCAGGGAGCTTGTACCTAGAGGCAGGGGACAGGATGGTGATGACTGACAGTGGAGCAAGATCAAAACATGATGTGGGCAAGTCATCAACCACACCAGAGGAGACCCCGACCCGGTGTTGGGGGGCCTGCAGACAACCATTTCTGGTATTGTTGACAGGAGACACACAAGCATCCTCACTGGGCGCAAACTGCCCTGACTCTCAGAGGGACAGGACGGGCCTGGAAGCGTGAGCGGCAGCTCCTACCTCGCGTGCTGGATGAACTGGGTCGCTTTCTCCACGTACTTCTGGGCCAGGCTGCTCAGGTTCACGGGCTGCTCCACAATGCTGAGATTCTCGTAGAGCGGAAGGGCCAGGTCCGAGTAACAGTCTCTCTGATGCCCACTGAACAGAAAGCAAAGGGAACAGAGCGCTCATCTCCATGAACCTAGCGGGCGCAGACTGGAACAAAATGCTTGAAGGAAGCGACATACGTGACAGTCAGCAGCGTGGCCCCAGAGCATCTGCCCCGGGCCACTTGCTCTAGATGTAGGACCAGCACAGGCCTGCCATCCCCTTGCAACAGAAGATCAAGCCGGCCACAAAGACTCTTAGCTAGGGCATTATTACTCCCATTCTGCAGGCAGGCAGACTAAGGTCTCAATGGGCCGAAGTACTTCCAGCAGAGTCCCACAGCCAACTGGGAGCTCACTGCCCGTCCAGCCTTCCGGCAGCCTCCTGTGTGATGTATCATGGCAACAACGGGACTTCCCGTGACATGAAGGCTGACAATTGGACAGAATATATAAGATTTAAATCTGGAGCTATGTCTGGGGGATTTAGAGAAATTCTAGCAACTAGGGAGGGGGAAAAAATGAGGTATTTTCTGGATAGAACACAAACCCAGACCTGGACCTTTCAAACTGAAATGAACCTCAGGTAGGCCACAATCTCAGGCAAGTGTCCAGAAGTCTCAGAGCTCGAGGATCCTTATCAGCACCATGGGGCTGCCCACACCTTGATCTCAGGGGTGCCCAGGGAACTAGAGGAGCCACAGATGGCCAGAGGTCGGCACATTGCTGAGCGCTCTCAGAATTCAGTACAGACTTGAGTGCTCCGCAGCTGCCGGGAGAGAAGGAGCCAGCAGAGAAGCTGAGTGCCACAGGAGGACAGCAGGAGAGTCCCGGCAGGCAAGCCCTGCCTCTCCTGTCCTCACAGAACCTTCGCGAATACATTGCCCCAACGTGCAGGGAAGACCTTGTGAAGACAGAAACTCCCTGTGGCACCTGCGCCCACACACACACACACACACACACACACACACACACACACACACACACCCTATTATAAAACCTTAAAAGATAAGGCCAGACTGGGGAGATGACTGCCAAGGATCACAACACTTAAGAGTTATCAATCCACCAGGCAACAAAATGCTAATCTCATATGCCCGCTAAACTTGCCAGCCTTGCACGCTCTCACAGCTATCCCACCATCACTGACACCCTCTCCTGTCCTTCCCATTAGTCCTTCCGTTTTCTATTCCGCTCTGACTTGGAGTAAAAAGAGACTTGTGGAAGGTGCAATTACAGGCGTGACCCTGGGGTCACCGTTGGTAAAGAGGCCAACGGGCTGCTCTCTAGCCCAAGTTGGCACTTGGTAAAGTGCTCATGAGTCTCCCGGGCATCCTGCTCAAATGCAGGTTCCAGGGTCCGACGGGCACATTTTGAGAAGCAAAGCAAAGAAGACAAGGACTCTGGACCCAGGCAGAGGCACGGGGGACTATGTCCATTCCCACTCTCCCCAGCCCCGGTGTGCCCAGGGCAAAGTAAGCTTCCCCTGCTTGTAAAACCAGGTCACTACCTGCCTCCCCCAGGGGATCACAGATAAGTCCTGGGAGTGCCTGGAACAGAACAATCTCAACAAACAGCCAGAGGACATTAAGCACGGTGCCATTAACAAGCCGGCTGAGATTTTCACAGGTGACCTGCACACCTATAGTGCCCTGTCTGAACACGAGCCCTGTTCATCCCGGAGCAAGATCTGCCATCTCTTGTTCTCTCCCAGAGGATGTACATGCTTGTCACAGAGTATTTACTAATTACAGTGAAAAAGAAGAAAAATGAAAACTCGGGGCCCCACAGGCAGAGCAAACCCCAGTTAGCTTTCTGGCCTGTCTCTCTTCTGAGTCTCTCCACAGGAACCACAAAGACGTGGCTACAGAAGTAATTAAGATCAGAGTGGGTTGGCTGGCTTCCTGCTTTTTACACTTGCCGCTGTATCCTAAGCGTCTTCCCCTTTCATTGAATGTATTTAAAAACATCCTGTTTAGCACCTGCACGGCATTCCAACGTCAGGATGTTGGCTCACTTGTCCCTGGGAAAGGAGCTCAAAGGGAGTCCAGTGCTCGCTGGCTCCCGCTCTCTTGCCTTCTGTGCAGTGCCTGAGCCAGGTGAATGATCCAGGAGGCAAGTTCAGCAGGCAGAGGAAGAGACCCTGCTGTGCGAGTCCTTGGCAGTGCCAGGCTGTTGCTGGCTGAACAAAAACAATCTGAACCCAGAGAACGACAAGGCTGTCGGCTCTGCTGAAAGCTGTCTATCTTTCTGTGCAAAGAGTGCCTTGGAATCTTACTGAGCACACAGTCGCATCTGGGGCCTGAACTTGCCACGGACTCCCTGGGGACCACAGCTCTGAGATGTCACTTTGATCTCAACCCTCAGCCATCAGGTCACATTACCTCACTGGCCTGTCGTGGCGTGGACACGCTGGACAGGGTGGCTTGTTGTAGCCCGGGTTGTCGGTGCAGCCCATATCGTGGCTGTATGGGATTCCGAAATAGTAATCAAAACCTAGAAGAGAAGCAAGGGGTGAGCACCCTCAACTTGGCCGCTGCTCCATGGACCTGCCTTTTTACACCCAGAACAAAAATTTAATTTCCCTTGATATTGCAGTGCTATGGAGTAAGTAATTAAAAGGGGATTTGGTTCATACGCTTAGGAGTATACAAAGAAAGTCATTTTTGCTGGCTTCCAACTGTAAGATTAGATCTGCAAAACACCTTGTGATATTTAAAGGGAAGTTCAGAGACTAAGGGGACATCTATCACCCCCAGTGACATTATGGACATGAACAAGAAGTATCTGGTACAAGCCTGCTATGTGCATGACACTCCCAAGGATAAAGAAGACTTCCCTTTAGAAGGGAAAATGGAACAGGTACTTGTGTAGATTAAGCCACAAGAGATGGTCAGATGAAAAAACCAATCAGGTAAAGAAAATGAGAACTGGAGGCAAGAATCTCAAAACACTCCTTGAAAGACAGGGCATTCAAGCTAGAACTCCGATGCAATGGTTCAGTGGCTGATCTTCCCCCCATGCAAGCGCTCGGATGCCACACAGGTACCAATTCATGTCTCAGCTGCTCCACTTGGGACCCTGCATGGGAGATTAGAAAAAGCCCCTGGCTCCTGGCTTTGGATCAGCTCAGTGCTGGCCATTTGGAGAGTGAACCAGCATGTGAAAGATCTTTCTGTATTTCCTTCTCCCTGTAGTTCTGCCTTTCCAGTAGCAAATAAATCTTTAAAAGGCTGGGACTCTGACGGCGTGCAGATCTGGGATCAGGGTGATGGAGCGGAGGTGAGGGAAGGCAGGAGGTGAGCCCTGAGACCTGCATGCCTGTGGCAAGCTTGCTGGAGGTCTTTGACTTCAAGCCGGGGAAAAGAGAGAGTGGGGCTTCAGCTTCGTTCCTAGCCCCCTGCTCCAGCCTCTTGGTTCCCTCCACAAGTGCACTTGCCAGACTCACCAAGTCACCCTGCAGTCCCCATGTGCCCCATAGATGGAGGCCCAGCAGCTTTGCCTGAAAGTGTCTGCTCTGAGTCTGTCACAGGTGACCCTGCAGTGGGATTCCTTTTTTTTTTTTTAATTTATTTATTTTTAATTACAAAGTCAGATATACAGAGAGGAGAAGAGAAAGAGAGGAAGATCTTCCGTCCAATGATTCACTCCCCAAGAGGCTGCAATGGTTGGTGCTGTGGCGATCCAGAGCCAGGAGCCAGGAACTTCCTTCAGGTCTCCCACACAAGCACAGGATCCCAAAGCATCCCATCCTCAACTGCCTTCCCGGGCCACAAGCAGGGAGCTAGATGGGAAGTAGAGCTGCTAGGATTAGAACCCGAAACCAAATGCGATCCCGACACGTTTAAGGCAAGGACTCTAGCCGCTAGGCCACGCTGCCAGGTCCCAGGTCCCAAACATTGGGATTCCTAACCCAGTTCTAAGAGGAAGCTTCCTACAGGGTTTTCCCATCCTCCATGCCACTACTGGTCCCAGCACAGCCTCGAGACCCCGCACCAGCCTGGTCCCAGCACAGCCTTGAGACCCCGCACCAGCCTGGTCCCAGCACAGCCTCAAGACCCCGCACCAGCCTGGTCCCAGCACAGCCTCGAGACCCCACAGCAGCCTGGTCCCAGCATAGCCTTGAGACCCCACAGCAGCCTGGTCTTCCCTGCTGGGCATACACTTGTTGAGTTGGGACATTAGGTCCTTGTCAACTCAACATGTGGTGTATTCAGGGCAGCTAGTAGTTATTGCAATAACAGAAATTAAAATCCACCCTGATTTAGATATTGCATTGCACCAAAATGTGCCTGATTTGGTGTCAGGCTGAGTCTAGACCAGGCACAGCACGCTGTTTCTGTAAAGGACCAGATTCATGGGCCAGTGCTGCGGCACAGCTCACAAAGCTGCTGCCTGCATGCCTGTGTTTGCCTCAAGTCTTGACAGCTCCAGCTCCACTTCTGCTCCAGCTCCCAGCCTATGCACCTGGCAAAGCAGCAGAAGATGGCCCAGGTCCTTGAGTCCCTGCCAACCATATGGGATATCCAGATGAAGAACATTTGTTTAAGATTTATTTATTTTTACCTGGAAAGCAGATCTACAGAGAGAAGGAGAGACGGAGAGGAAGATCTTCCTTCTACTGGTTCATTCTCCAAGCAGCGGCAATGGCTGGAATTGAGCCGATCCCAAGCCAGGAGCCAGGAGCTTTTTCTAGGTCTCCTGCGTGGGTGTAGGGTCCCAAGGCCCTGAGCTGTCCTCACCTGCTTTCCCAGGCCACAAGCAGAGAGCTGGATGGGAAGCAGGGCTGCTAGGATTAGAATTGTCGCTCACATGGGATCCCTGAGCACGTAAAGCAAGGACTTTAGCCATTAGGCTACTGCACTGGGCCCCAAGATGAAGAATCTTTTGCCTGGCCCAGCCACAGACATCATGATCATTTGGGGATTGGTCTTCCCTCTTCTCTCCCTCTTTCCCTCTTTCAGTCATTCCGTCTTTCAAAAAAAAAATAAATAAAAGACTATATATATAGATTAAGCATCCCTTTTCCAAAAACCAAAAATACTACAAACACTCTTTGGATGCCAACATGATACCACACCATGAAATTCTGTTTCATGTATGAAAATCATTAAAAATTACTGTATAAATTCAGGCTGTATGCATAGGGTTCCTCTGAACCACAGATAAATTTTAGGTTTAGATTGTGTCCCATCCCAAGACAGCTACTGTGTATATACCAACATCCCCAAATCTGAAGGTTGAAGCAGTCCTGGACTCAAACATTTTGGATAAGGGCTATTCAACTGCAATCAATACTTTAGGTTTTGGGTGGGCAGGGGGCATACATTGCCATTGAGGTAAAGAGGCATTCCTAAGTAATGAGTATATACAGGTGAGCTCAGATGGTCTGTAGGAAAATCTGTACAGAATTGGGGGGCACCTGACATGGACCTGGTACAGCTTATGGGTCCTCAGACCCCAGGGCTGGAAGCAGATCTCACTGTGTCTACTGGATCCCAGATCTCAGCAATGAGCAAGGGAGCAGGGGAGGTCTAGATACCGAGAAGGCATGCATGGCTGTGCTTGGCATGACCCAGGAAAGGTTTGGAGGGAAGGCCGTGAAGCTAAGGGGGAAGCAGGATGGTACAGCACGGAGCAGGTGCAAAGCAGAAGACAACAGGAGTGAATGCAGAGATGCAAATGAAGAATCCTCAGAGCAGGGCCAGTGCTACAGCATAGCAGGACCATGACCCCATCTCATATGAACGCTGGTTCAACTCCTAGTTTCCACTTCCCATCCTGATCTCTGCTAACGCATCTAGTAGAGCGGCAAAGGATGGCCCTGCACCCATGTGGGAGATCTCAAAGAAGCTCCTGGCTTCAGCCTGGACCACACCTGGCTGTTGAGGCCATATGGGGAGTGAACCAGCAGGTGGAGGACCTGCGTGTGCGTGTGTGTGCGCGTGCGCGTGCGTGTGTGTGTGTGTGTGTGTGTGTCTTTTATCCTCTCTTTCTTTGCCTTTCAAATGAATAAACAAATAAATGATCCCAAGACAAAGTTCATGAATTTCCACTTGAAATGGAAAAATGAAGGAGCGAACAAGGGCACAAATCACAACCTTGAAAACCAATCGATACTTCAGAGGATTGCATGTTTGCAGAACCTGTTATTTCAGCAAACTGATTTTCACAGAACTGGCTCTGGCAGCCTGACCTTGGCCTACACCCCAAAGCCAGAGGAGAGACATGTGGAACTGCAAGGCTGCAGGAAGAAGCCAAGAGGCAACATCTCCTGCTTGGGTCCATGGCCAGGATCCTTGCAGACTCATCAGACAACCAGCACTCCTTCCCACAGCAGCCTTGTCTGTACCTCACAAAGCCACAGTGGCCCCTGAAGTGTGGTGAATTGGGTGGGAGACAGCAAAAAGCTAAAGGGCCTAGAAGGGGGCAGCCACTAAGGTGGTCAGGCCTGTAGCAGGGTGTCAAGGAAGGTGCCAGCAAGCAGGTATACCCCAAATGCTCCTGAGACTTTGTGATATTCCAACGTAGAAAAGAACCCCCACCAGGGCAAGGTGGCTGACATGTTCGTGGAGGCCTTTCACACGTGGAGCCTCATTTTCTGTTCCCAAGTAACAACCCCACTAAAATTCTTACCACGGAAGTTGGGGTGATAAGAGCCATGGTGCCCAAGATGCCATTTGCCTGTAGGGGAAAAAATGAGAGAAGTTTAGGGGATCCCCTGGGAAGCACCCAGTGCCCCTCCGCCAGAGGAGCCCATCTCATACTTGGCTGTCCACTGATCTTGCCTTTTAGCCCAGAGAGGGTGCAGGTGCACGGTAGAAGCCATGCCAAGCTCTGTGGGAGGAGGGCATCCATGGGCAGACAGAGAGTCAGCAGGGATGACTGCAGACCCATGCAGGAAAGGGAAGTGAGACCAGTGCCAAGAGCTGAGAAGGCAGCAGGTGGAGCCTCCATCCTTCCAAGAGGGTCGAGCAGCCCCCACAGTCTGCTGCACCCCCACTCTGCCTCTACACCCAGGGTGGCACAGGGCACAGGTGCACCTGCACATCCTCCCAGAACTCCCCGGTTCCCATCAGGCTTCATGGCCTTTCTGTCTGGTCCCCATCAGCAGCCTGTCCAGGCTGGACAAGAGCCGGCCCCCCACTGCAGTGTAAGCACCAGAACACCTACAGGGCAGCAAATGAGAAAAGCCAGCCACCTGCTGCTGCCAATGTCAGAACCCTGTGACCTGTTCTATTCTCTCTTGGGATCAGGCCCCACAGCAAGGGGGCTCAGAAATAAGTGGGATGCAAAGATCTAAATGGTGGCCGCCTTCTGCAACCTGAGAGAGGAAGACTAACCAGTAGCTACAGGAAAATGACCAAGCAGGTTGTCAATAAAACTGTCTTCTAGAGACAGCTGCATGTGGCAAACCTTTGCCACAAGTAAATCTGGACAAGAGAGATATGGGGGTCCACTTCTCACTTCCTGCAATTGCTCTGCAGGTTTGAAAAAGAAATTTAGCCATAGTCATAAGAGAAGTGGATTAAATATTATGTAGAAATGTTTAAATTATTCCATGGAAATATAAAACTAAGAAAATTATATTACAAGCATTATGTTTAAGCATTAGACAGGGAATGCTTGGATTAAGTTACTGCATGGAAATACAAAATGGTGTGACAGAGAAAAGCAGCAGGGCCAACTTGTTCAATGGCAACCAGAAAGCGCCACTGTGGCCAGGGACAGCAATGAGAGGCAGTGTGTGTGGCAGGTGCTATGATGTGAGTATGAGGTCGGATGTTGATGCTGACTATGTCCCCAAGCTCCTATGTTAAAGTTTAAACCCTAAAATCTTACGTTAATGGTAACTAAGAGTAGTGGAAACTTCAGGAGGTGGGCCATTAAGGGAGAGACAGGGGGATTAACTCCTGGTGGTGTCAGGAGCTCATACCAACTGGGAGTTTTCCACAAGGCATCTGTAAGGTTGGAGGTCATGTTCAGAACCAGAAATCCACACAGAATAGAATTCAACTTAAAACAAGCTTTGTTGGGAGTGCTCCTGGGTGAGGTTCACTGGCTTGGTACAGACAGTGGGCCAGAGAAGTCGGCCCCAGGGGACTTGAGGTGTAGTTTTAATTAGGGGGCTGTGGAGGTGAGGGTTGGGGGACAAAGGAATGTGCCTTATAGAGTGTCACAGGCTCCTTTTGACCTTGGTGGATCCCTACATCACTGCTGGAATGCTGGCTGAGGAGGGCGTTGCCTTCTCCAGGTGCAGTCTTATCAGCCACCCTTCTCAGCTCCTCCTAGGTCACGCCTCACCCACCCTGGCTGGGCCTTGCAGCATCCTCTGCTACCTGGCTCTTGAGATGGCTTCCTGTTGGAAAACAGATGAGACTTGCTGACCTTGGGTTGTGAGCTTAATAAACCTCTTTGCTTCCTAAGTAGCTTATTTCAAGTATTTTGGTGCCGTCACGGAAAGCTGACTGCTACAGCTGGCATTGTGAGTGTATGCCAAGTCTCTGCCTACAGTGCTGTCATCCCAGATAGGTGCCAGTTCAAGTCTGCCCCACATTTCTAGTGCAGCTCCCTGTTAACATTCCTGGGCAACGAGCAGATGTCTCCTGTGCTTGGGCCCCCACACCCACGTGGGAGACACAAAGGAAGCTCCTGGCTCCTTGCTTCAGCTCGGCTCAGCTATGGCTGTTGCAGCCACGTGGGGGAGTAAATCAGTGAATGGAACATCTCTCTATCTCTCCTTTTCTCTGTAATTCTGCCCTTTAAATAAAAATAATTTTTAAAAAGCTGACTGATGCAGTGGTGCAAGCATGCTGTGGTGCGTGAGTTTACAAATTGAAATGTCCTGCTCAGGATGTACAAAAGGCGCTGGTGTAGTCGGGAGGGAGGCAGTTCCACATCCACCTGTAAGGAGATGCTTCCTAGGAGTTCCAAGGCCAGAAGTGAGGGCCAGTCCAGCTCAGGAAGAGCCTAGCTCCCCGCTGCCATACAAGGCTTTTACATCAGGAGCCCCAGGGAACAAAGCTTCCAGGCAGGGAGGAGTAAATGGCCCCAGGTGACAGTGTGGCGGTAAGGGCCAGCCCACAACAGGAGCAGCACAAATGGCTGTGCCAGTGTCACTGTTGATAACGTGACTATCCCATGGGCACACCAAGGAAGGGTTGTTGTGAGAGCAGGTTACCCTCAGTGGTAACCCTGGGGCCGGGATGCCACGCTCCAGTCAGAACTCCCGAGAAAGAACTCCAGCAGGAAGTGGGGTCAACACAGAAGTGCCAGCCCTTGGTGTGGATGCAGCAACCTCCAGCAGGTAGAGAGAGGCCACACCCTCAGGGGCCCTCCCTGACGCCATGATGTTGGCACATTTCCCCTGCCACCTCATTTAGTGGAGCAAGGCAGGAATCCCCCCGGACTCATCTGAGACTCAGGCAACCTGCAGATGCTGTTGGAACTGCCAGCTGCTGGCTAGCATTGGAACTGGAGCCACACACACCCCTGTCCAGACCTGGCCTCCACGCAGCACTCCAGGCCAGGCGTTGTTCAACAGATCCCTTCACTGCTCTGAACTCAGCGGCCTTGCTGCTACAGTGGGTAAATAACCATCACCTGCCCCTCCCCATCATCCCATGAAAGGAAACATTCAGTCTCATGAATGCTGAACAAGAGGTACTTAAAGGGGCAACACGGAGGTGTCGCTGGTTTCTTTCCACATCCCAAATCCCTCTAACTTGGCTCAGAATTTTGGTTTGGTTCACTGTGTCCAAAGCCAAGCCAATCATTCCAACCCTGCTCCCATTCCCCAGTCTTCCTTGCAGTAGAGTGGCCCCATCCCAGCTCTGGCCACAAAGACTGATGTACATTTCCACTGGGCCAGGGAACTGTTAAAAGCTGAGAAAAGAGTGGCTTTCCCCATAAAAGTAGACCAACTCAGCTGTCACCATCTCGGCTCTCTTCTTTCCTCTTTGAGCCGAATCACAGCAAAGGGCATAGAAGCCACCATCCTACAGCAGCGGACAAGCCAGACGACATAAGCCAGGATGCTAAGAATGGCGGAACAGGCATGGAAAGCAAGAAGGTAGAGGTAACGGAAACTGCCTAAGCCCCCTGGCAGGGCTCAAAGCACTGCCAGCTTACAGAGCAAGAGATGAAGGAGGCGCAGGGTGTGGGGCTGTGAGCATGTGCAGCAGCTGCCATGGTACCCACAGCGGGCTCACCTATCATCCCAGTGACATAGCCCGCCTGCTGCAGCACCTCTGCTAGGGTGGTCTCATTGAGAGGAAGGCCCCCGACCGAGGTGACTGCAAAGTTGTGCGTGACTCCATTGCGGAGGCCGAGCCGGCCCGTGAGGAGGGAGGCTCTGGAGGGCGAGCAGGTGGAAGCAGCCGCATGAAAATCTTCAAACCTGCAGGACAGGAGAATCATCCAAAAAATAACCATTAACTCATGATGCAACAGATCCACCCGTTATCCTCCCAGAGGGTCTAGAAGCATCGACATCATGGGGGCAAGGAGCACACACCCGACCCCAGTCTCTGATGTATTCACCATTCTGCGACAAGTGGAATCAGGGCACTCAGAGGAAGCGGTGGGATTCAGGCTTGGAGAAGGTGAGGGACGGTGGAGGGGGAGTCAGGGATATGCCGCTGTGTCTGAGAACGAAGATCCAGACAAGCTCCCGGACCTTTTTCGCATCACTACTATGGGTCATCGGCCACAAACAGGCAGAACTGTGCGAGTCCATACTGACACCCACCGGCAGAGGAGCCAGCGAGGTCACTCACACCCCACCTCAGAGCACCTGCGTTTGATGCCTCACTCGGGCTTCCTGCTAAGGCAGACCTTAGGAAGCAGCAGTGACGGCTCAGGGGGTTGAGCCCAGCACCTGCTAAGATCTGCATCTGGTTCCTGGCTGCCCACTTCAGCAACGCCACCCCGTCATCAAGCAGCTGGGGGCACTTGGGAGCGATTCATTTGTTCTTATTTTCATCTCCTCTCTCTCTCTCTCTCTGCCTTTTGAATTAATTAAAAATAATAATTTTTTAAAAACACTTTAGAAAAAGTAATTTGCCACCACTAAAGGAGAACATTACACTAACTCCCTACGCTAAACATTTTTAATTAAAGAGCAAGAATTTATACATTTTCCCTGGCACCCAGACTGCCCCCAATGCCACTGCCAGGTGCTAAAGGCAAGCATGCTGTTCATGGAAGATTAGCAGTGGGCATATGTGGAGGTGACAGCAGGCTCAGGAAGTTGCCACCACTGCGCCACCTGCCCCACATCACACCGTGTCACCCTCGGGCCACTCACAAACAGGACAGAGCAGTTGATCAACAGCTTACAAAATAATTCAGTTTTGTAGCCTTAATAACTGGAGCCCTGACCTTGTGTGTCTCCCGATGAGATGCCAGATAAAGTCTAGAAAATCAAGGATTCATGCCAAAAAAACACATCTCACTTGAATCTAATCAAACTCCTGGGCCTAATTTCCAGGTTGCAGGAAACACAGCTAATGGAAGGAGAAATTAATTAACAAGGCAGGTAATGGTTTCCCAAGCCGTGCTGAGATGCTATTCTACGGGACCACTCGTCCCGGCCCTTCAAAAAGTCAGAGTCACAAAGAGAAAACAGGTGAAGACTGCGTAAAGTTCTACCCAAAAGGAAACCAGAGCAGCAAGACCAAATGTAACACATCATGCTTCGGTGGTACAGTGGTTAAGGTCCTCGCCTTGCACGCCCAGGATCCCATATGGGCGCCGGTTCTATCCCGGCAGCCCCCGCTTCCCTTCCAGCTCCCTGCCTGTGGCCCGGGAAAGCAGTCGAGGACGGCCCAAAGCCTTGGGACCCTGCACCGGCGTGGGAGACCTGGAAGAGGCTCCTGGCTTCGGATCGGCATAGCATCGGCCGTTGCGCTCACTTGGGGAGTGAATCATCGGACGGAAGATCTTCCTCTCCGTCTCTCCTCTCTGTATATCCGCCTTTCCAATAAAAAATAATAAAAATAAATCTTTAAAAAACACATCATGCTTGAATAGTAAGTACATCTGAAGGATCGTCAGGGAAATCTGACGCTGACGTGGTGTCAATTAGGGAATGGCTGGCTGCCTCCTGGGTATCACACAGTCTTGGGGAAGAATGGTACGGCTGTCCTGTGTTTGCATCTTGCCACAATCCAGAGGAATCACTCTTTGTGACAGATGAGCTAAATAGAAACAGTGCCAGCAGATCTGGAGCCACAGAGTAACTCTGTTCATTTTGCTAGCCTCTTCGTTTCCTTTCCTATCTGAAACATCCCACATGAAAAGCTTTTTAACCTATGGAGGTCTGGAGCCTGCAGGGAACAGGGAAGTGACCCAGGGAGCAGCCCGCACCCAGCTGGAGGAGACGGAGAAGGACAGCATTGCCAAATCTCCCTGTGTCCCGACTGCTTGGCAGGCAAGTTCAGCACGGCCACAGACAGAGGCAAAACCGAGACCAAGGACCAAGTGCTGGCCCACGGCAGAGGGGCAGAGATGGGATGCTTCCAAGAGACCACCCAAACATTAACCCCAGGCTCGCACTGGCCTCCAGGAGCACCTGCAAACTAAAGCCCTCTGAAGCCCTCCGAGACGCTCCGTACAGCTACCAACAGCCCAGTGACAGCAAGCTGGACCAAGCCACTGCCCTTCACCGTGACCTTGGCATCTGTAGAGGACATAACCTGGAGGGCAGCCAGGTCTGCAGAGCAAGACTGAGTCCTTTCCTTTCCCCCATTTCCTTCCCTTGTTTCTGATCCTTTAAAAAAAAATGGCACTGAAGCTTAGTGATCAGAAGGCAAAACCTTCTTCAAGTCATCCAGATTAATAAAACCACCAAGCAATTCTTCTCGGAGGACGTATCCAAAAAAAGCTCACGTCTGTCACTCAGCTGCTGAGCACACACACATGTCCACAGTGGCCCCGAGCACCACAGCCGAAGGGAACCTCCCGCAGGCATCCCCACCAAGAGAGGAACGGACAGGCCACGGGTGGAATATTACTCAGTAAGAAGAACGTGAAATGAAGTGTTGATGTGTGCCACTACAGGATTGAGCCTGGAAATCATTAGGAAGGAAACGAGCCAGCACGCAAGGCCACGTCTCATGAGTCCATTTATACGAAATGTCCAGAACAGGTCATTTCCCAGCGACAGAAAGCAAACATGGATGTGTGCCAGGGGCTGCAGGGAAGGGAGCAGAGCGACAACCCAAGGGCCGGGGTTTGACTGTAGAGGGATGAGTGTTTTTGAAACTCACTAGAGGTGAGGGTTGCACAACATCAGGAGTGTACTAATGCCACTGGATTGTTAATGACTAACAGTTTGAAACCATCCATTTGATATTATATAAATGCCACCTCAATTTCAAAACACAATCTACCAGGAAAACGCCAAGAGAATCTCTCAGACACAGGCTGTGGCCCTCCAGGCTGAAGTCTTCTGATGAGAACTTATTTATAACCAAGAGGGCCCTTCCTCATTTCACTCAACCACCCCCCAAATATTTACTGAACAGCCACAGGGATGAGGGGCAAGGTCTGTGACACAGGTTAGGGAAACAGAGTCATTGCCCCCATCCCCAATGATGTCGGTCCTTCAAGGTCATGTCTGTGTTACTAGCTACCTGCTTAGCACGAGCTCTGAATGTGGCACTTCACATTTCATCTTCATGGAAGCTCCCAAATGTGCTGTTACGTACAGATGAGGAAACTGAGGCAGCAGGCAGTTTCCACACTCTGCTCCGGCCCCAGGGTCCTGGCTGTGGCAGGATGCGCCTTCCAACTCAGGCGTGTCTAACTCTGGTTCATACACGTGTGCCAGGCAACCACGCTGGTCTCCACAGTCGAAGGCAAGATGTGGGGAGACTGAGTCCCTCCACAGCTAGTCTTGGAATGAGAAACCCAAGAGACAGAGCAATGTGGAGACCGGAAAGGGTCCAGTCCCCGGGCCCTGCGTAGAGGTCAGGGAAGAAGGCACTGGTGTGGGCGTGAAAAGAGACCGGTGTGTCCCACATGTACACACACCAACACACCTGTTCTGCAGGCATGCAAAGCCAGGTGACACATGAGGGTCTGGGCGCCGGAGTCTCCTGGAATACGAGAATTCAACATTGCTGGCAGTCCGGGGAGCCAAGGTACCTCTTGCCTTCAAGATCAGCAGAAGCCGCAGCAGGTGGATGCACACCTGTACACTCTCCTAGGAGTCCCGCCCGAAACAGGAGCCCATGCTCGACTCATCAAGAGCCCTGGGCAGGCTCTTGGAGTGCCAGCTGCTGGCAAGAGGAGTCCAGCTTAACTTCCTCATCACTGCCAGTCACCACTCAGGGTGGCGGTGGCTCAGCCAACACCCTCTGCAGTCTCCTCTGCCACCATCCAGGGGACCGGTCTTTGCCATCCTTGGTCTCTCGACAGCAAATTCTCAATGTCCCTGATGGCCTCGCAGAAGACTCCTCGCGCCTTTCACCCAGTGTCTCCTCACAGCCTCTGGGAAGTCACAGGTAGCCCCAGCCCAGGAAATGTTTGCAAGCTGCTGATCCTCACGTGTTTCCAGTGCACCTCTTACACGCAGGCACCTGCACAGCCTCTCTGCCGGGGTAGCTCCCCGAGACCCCCCTGTGCAACAATGCAGGGCTCTCTGCCCAGGGGGCCTACCTGGACTCCTCACCCTGCCATAGTCCTTATGGCAGAAGGATGACCAGGTGCTATGTATGGGTCCTGTCCCCCAAGGAATTCCCAGATCTGCTCATCCTTTCTGCTGCCCACAGTCAGTGTCCTTGTGGAGGTCCTTCAGAGGCAACATCAAGGTTATGACAAGGGCCTGGTGTCCTCTCCCCACCCCCCACATTTTTCAAATGCTGTAAATGCCTCCCTGAAGTCGCAGATGCGGTCACAGCACTTCCTCTCCGCCTGCCCCTTGGGACTCACCTCTGACCCCACCACACCTCAGGCTCCCAGCATGCCCTACCTCCAGGTGCTATCAACCACCCTGGACAGGTCTCGCCCCACCATCCTACACTGACTGACAACTAGTCTTCAAGGACCAGTTCAAATGCTCCCATTGGATGACATCTCCCCTGCCCCTCCTCTCCCTATACCTGCCTGCAGGACCTTTCACCTAGTGTCTGCAGAGCCAAGCTCTTCCCTTCCTGCCATTACACTCACCTCCTCTACTGTGAACCCCTTACACAGCTCTGCGCCATGAGCTCTGCTTAGTCCTCCTATTCAGTGTGGGGAAGGGGTCAGCAGCAATCAGAGAGTGCTGCCCCAGCTGTGTGAGGGCCTCCCTGGAGAGCCACAGGGGCACAGAGCTGCAGGATGCCTTGGTCATGGCTGCCTTCCTTCTTCCCTGGACCTGGTGGGTCAAACAGCCCAGACACGTTAGCACAA